TATATATACACCACAGTTTCTTTATTCAATTTAACAATTTTCACAACAGTCAAATGTGTTTGATATTGCCTGGGCTGTGTAGCTCCATGAGAAGCTGAACACCCAGAATAACACATTTTTGTTTAAACTATCCACTTGTGTAACATTTCACCAAACAGTGAAAACCTGTAAAAAAAAAACAAAACAAAAAAACTGTATTTTACTGATTTTTGTGTTTTACTTTCTATCACATGATAAAAATGTAAGGTCTATGAGAACAGAGTTTTTTTAAAAGCTCAAAATCATTGCTACAATTTTTTCTTTTCATGCTACTAGATTAAACCCAGAGGTACTCTACAACTGAGTTACATCCCTGACCTTTTTTACATTTTATTTTGAGACAGGGTCTCATTAAATTGCTTAAGGTCTTGCTAAGTGCCAGGACTGGCCTCAAACTTACCATGCTCCCAAATAGCAGGGATTAAAGGCATGTGACATAACTGACTCAATGCTATATTTTTAATACCTAGGATATTGAATATTTGTTGAAGACAAATTATCATTTTGTAAGTACTGTTGTTTTGTTCACCATCATTCACAATTAGGTCTAGTTTCAAAACCAGATCTCAGCATAGCTCATTCTCTAAGGTAAGTGAAACACACACAATTGAATGTCTGACTCCCTCTAGTGCTGCAAGAGTTCCTACAAAGCCCCTACCACTTTCAGAGATCAAGTTTAAAATCTGTGTGTTTTCTTAAAATACAGGAAGCACCACACAAAATGAAAATAAGAAGGCTTTTGTTCAAAAAGTATTAAGCATTTCGAGATGGTGACAGCAGAGCATTAAAGCAAGCACGGGGCCCTAGGAGACAGCACCTGTCAGATACCCACTATGCCAATCTTGTAAGGCAGGATCTTGTTAGAACTAGATTTTAGAAATCTTAAAAAATAAATACAGGGAAAAATTATCAGAATTCTCTTTTAAAGTTTTCTCATATTCATGTCCCCTGATGAGTCTGTATTGTAAAGATTTGAAGAGCAGCCTAAAGCTGAAAAATAATTTAAATCCTAAATTACATAAACTACATAACCACTTTTTCTGGTCCCAAGGTGATGTTTTGGCTATATGAATTTCCATCTGGTTATCATTATTTATTGTCACATTATCTCATCAAGTTATTTTAATAATTCAAGATTTAAAATCTCACTGGTGTGATCTTTTTCCAGGGTGTTTATTTATCAAGTAAATAAGCACTTTTAAAGGGAGCAATCACTTTAAAATACTGATTCCTTCCACAAGAGTTTATTAAAAATTTATTTATGCAAATTATGGTGCTTGCTTCTTTAAGAAATTTAAGCATTGTAAGGTAAAAAAGGAGGCTAATTTGCTGGAAATCAGCTTTATTGAAGCCCATTAACCACATGATCAATTTGCTGAGTATCCAATTTGCTAAAATTTACAGAACCGAATGACTACTTTAATGGAAATATTTGTCATCTTTTAACAGGATTTTTTATTTTAGTGATAGTAATACACTCACACAAACACACACATAGAAAATTATACATGCATGTATAATATACATGTACATATCACATGTACATATTAGATATATACACATATATACACATACTTATTTGTGATTATATCTAACTTGTTTTAAAAAGATTAAGAATAAAAGAAAGATTATCTGGAGCTGGGGTTGTGGTTCAGTGGTAGAGCACTTGCCTCACATGTGTGAGGCACTGGGTTCAGTTCTCAGCACCACATATAAATAAATGAATTAAAGCTCCATCAACAACTAAAAATATATTTAAAAAATATCTGGAGGAGACAACTATAATGGATCAGGACCAGGTGATTAATCTTGATTAAATGGAAAATAAAACAGGATGAAATAAGAGTGATCATATTATTTATTGAATATTCTATGTCAGTTGTTGGTTGAGATACTCTGAAAATTGGTGAAAGAATCTTAATACTAAAAGTTTGAGGAAAAAATCAACATAAATATGTTCCTAATCACTTTCTTGATATATCCAAAGTTTAGGATGGTTTTCCTCTTTGTTATAAACTATATGGATTTTTTTCTATAGGAAAATCTGCCTATGTCAATGGCTCCTCATTAGAAATCACAATTTCAGTACATAATATGGCACTAGTTTTTCCAACTACTTCTAGTTTATTTTACAATACTTTCAAATAACATTTTCAACTTTTGTTTTTATTTTTTTAGTTGTATTAGGACATATACCTTTATTTTATTCATTTATTTAATTTTATGTGATGCCAGAGATCAAACTCAGTGCCTCATGCATACTAGGCAAGTGTTCTACCACTGAACCACAACCCTGGCCCCCATTTTCAACTTTTTAGATACTAAAAGCATTTTAATACTCTTTTAGTATCTACTAGCCTATTTGTCATGTCCATCTTAATTTGTAAATTTAAAAGCATTTGAAAAAAAATCAGAATTTTGACCTGAATTGTATTTAAACTAAATTTCTGTGTAATCACTCAAAATTTAACTTAGGTTAACTTTAATTTGAAAACATCAGGAAAAAATCAAAATTAGCTCAAATAATTCCATATTAAAAATATTCCCACACTAAATTTTATTTTGGTTAGTAATAGTGAAAATAAACAATTATATATTTCATAGGCAATAGCCTAAATTAGATATTTTTGTTGATAAATTATTCTTAGTAAGGTTGCTGAGTATTGCTACTTAACAGTACAATCCAAATTTTATAAATATGGCAAATAAGTCATTGGCAAATTGGTATTCAACCACCTGATTTTTTGCAAATTGGCCTGTCTATATACATAGAAGAGGGAAGGGTGAATAGGACTTTAAGAAATCCCAATTTTCAGGAAGAAAATGGAAGAGAAAAAGTTATTAGAGAAGTAGGAAGAAGTTCAAGACTCTTCAGAAGAATGGAATCTCAAGGAAATTTAGCAATGTCACATGCTATAAAGTTCCAAGATAAGTAAGGTCAGTGGTAGCTTTGTAGGCCAACTTTTCAGTAGAGAGTGATTTGGGGAGTCAGTTTGCAAAAAGTTATGAAATGAATGTGCCAAGATTAAACAAAATTATTTTCTTAAACCCAACCAGATAAAGTCCTCAAAGGCAAGGACTTAATTTTATTTATTTTACTAATTTGAGAATTCTATTTTTCTCTCTTCCATCTAGAGTTGTCAGATTTAGTAAATTAAAATACAGAAAGATAAGTTTGAATGTTAAATAAAACTAACTGAATAATTTTTAGTATGAGTATATCCTAAACATTGCATAGGACATAGAAAGAGATTCATTATTTATGTTAAAGTCAAATGTATTTATTTGGGGGGGATGCAAATTTAACTGGGTGGATTGTTTTATCTGTCATCTCCCAGGAGGAAAGGGGATTTATTACAAGTGAGATAGGAAGAAATTTGTTTAAACAATCGTTTGAGATGAAAAGAGTTTTGAAAGAGAGAATAAGTAGAGAATTGACCATGTCATGAAAGAAAATCCCTTATTTTTGAAAGAGAATAACAAAAGAAAAATGAAAAGTAAATAAAAAGAACTCATATTTTCTATTTATGAATAGTTTCAAATTTACAGAAAATGGAACGTATCATATCTACACGTAAATTCTAAAATTATTTAAAAAGTTACAGGTTTTATTTCATCATTTTCCAGATTTTTATCTCACATTTTTCCTTAGGTCAAACCACTTGAAGCAAATGCCAGTCATTAGAGCACCCCAAACCTAAAAAAACTCAGCATGGAAGTCCATAACCTGTGAACATTTTCCTACTTAAGAATAATACCATCATCCTATCTAGCAAAATGAACAATTCCATAATATCCTTGAACATTTGATCCATATTCCATTTCCTTAAATATCTTGTAAAAATACCAAATATTTTAAAATGGGAAATCTGAAAGCTGAAGTGGGTGGAGATTCTCTCTCCTTTGATAGAGTAGAAAGAGGAAAATGACTTAGCATCACTCTGCCTCAGGCGATTGCTTGATCAGTGAGGATAATAAAAATAACAATCGTAACAAGATTGTTGTGGGCTGTGCCTATTACAGTGTTTGGGACTTATTGAGATTATCAATTATTATGATTGTCAAGGAGTAGCAAGTCTTACAATTAATCTACCTGGGGAGGATTAATGACCAAGGAAGGGTAAATAATATTATGCAGGCCTGGAACTTAAAAGTTAAGCCGCGGCATTCATGGAGAACTTGACCGCCAACCCTCTTGCCAAAGAGTGAGGCATTTATACCTACAGAGACAGCCGTGGGTTATCAATACCAGGGCCCAATTGATTTTCCCTGTTGGTTTTCTGTGTGTGTGTGTGTGTGTGTGTGTGTGTGTGTGTGTGTGTGTGTGTGTGTGTGCGCGCGCGCGCGCGCAAGTTCCAGAGTCACAGCTCAAAAACCGGGGGCGGGGCGCCTGCGCTTCCAGGGCTAGTCCTGCGCGTGAGTTGTTGGCAGCTGCTGCGAGCGGCGAGCGCAGACTCTGCAGCACTGGCTTTGCGATGGGACACCTGTGGCTCCTGGGAACCTGGGGTCTTTGGGCGTTGCTCCTGCGTGCCGCGGATCCCCACACAGGTAACCCAGTCAGGGAGTTAGGGAGGCAAACAAAAAGAGGTCCGTGTAGACCATACCCCTGCTCTCGGGATCGCAGGAGAGGTGGGACCACCTGTCACCTGCCCTGGACCCAGGTTGTGGGTGCAGATCCCAGGCAATTTGAAGACCTGAGAACTAGGCTTGACAGAGAAAGTACAGAAAGAGACAGAGTAACAGAAAGGATAGAGAAAAATAGAGAGAGAGCCTAAAAGATTGCTTTTAATTTATCAGTATTGCTGTTCGAATTGTGGAACCTCCCTTCAAAGTGACATAGTTGTAAAGAACTGAAATTGGGCTGGGGAGAAGGAGAGGGGTGGACAGACACAACCTGACTTATTCCTCCCCTCATTCTTCTTGGATCCTTTTCCCCATTGAAGGAAGGCAACACATGTCAGTCACTTCCAGGGCAGCTACCGGTGTCCTCAAAGTAATACCCAGAAGAGGGCTGGGAAGAGAGTGATAAGATAAGAAATTGGAGTTGTGTTCGGAGATAAGGAGGATGAACTTGAGATAGACACAGCACCGTCTGGAGATAGGATCCTGCTCCCTCCTTGGGGTTCCCTATTCTTGTCTGTCTGTTGCCTGGAGTGACCAAGATACTGCAAGGAGGAATACCTTGGAACTTTTGGCAAAGAGAGACCAGAAGTACAGAGGCTTTGGGTCTGGGGGCTGGCAGCTGATCTCCTTTATGTTGGAGAACTTTTGCAATTATAGGTCAAGTCCACACTATGAATTTTCCAAGCAGGAATGAACTATCAATCATAATTTCCTTAACTTTTTTTTCATACATTCATTTCAAAATATTAATCTCTGTGGCTTTTGTTTCCCTGCTTAAATCTTTCAACTTACTCTGAGAAATTGCTTTAAATTATAATTAAATTACAAGAACAGTATAGTTTAAGCAGAAAATTAAGCACTTCAATCATGGTGATCTTCAAGATATTTCTAAGAATTGCTTGCAGTTCTCCAAAGAACAAGCAGCTTCCTCACCCTCTGTTTGCTCAGGCAGTTCCCCCTATCTCAAACTCCCTTTGTATTTCTTCATGTTATTACTAGGTTAATTAATTTATATTTTTCCTCCAACATGCAGCAGGGAAATTCCTTCTTTCTAGAAACCAGTATAGCCCAAGCTGTACTCTGAAATGCTCCTTCTGAGTCACCCAGGACACTTTGTTCCCATTTTTCACTTTGTACTGCCTAAGCTAAACTTTTGGAAAGTTAAGACTGAAATGCAATGATGTATCTCCAGGAAGCAAACCTAGTTTGTTGAGAGAATTACTGGTCTTTGCACTCACTAAGAACTCAGAATCATCAAAGCACTAGAAAGATCCTAGAAATTATCTTTCCTGAAGTGACATCCTGTCACAGCAAACAATTTCTTCTTAAAACACAATCTTCATCTTTATACTTGGACTATTCTTTCAGCCTACATACCATCACACTTCTTATGTACTTTGGTAAGGATCTACTTCTCCAAATTAGTGTTGTCTGCTGCTCTGTGGGCTACCAAGCCTAGTAAGGGTTTAATAAGTGTTTTATCATAGCATAGGTAAGAAGGATGAAAATGATTTTATATTATTCTTGCTTTTTGGAGTACTTAAGATAATACTTTGCACAAAGCTGGTGAATATTAACTGAGTTAATGACTTCAATCCCTGTCAAGTCATTGAGCCAAAAAATAAAACCTATATGTATTTACTTTTAGTCCTATCATATTCACAATGGTTCTCTTATGATGTTGTGATATGTGACACAAAATGTGGTGCTGGGAATGAAGAACCTGATGATTTTAACTCTTCGCACTTTCATTATCTTTCAGATGACTCTGAAGTAATCCCTAAAGTCATGGAGGTACTACCTAAATATGGCAGCATAAATGGAGCAACAAGGCTGACTATCAAAGGAGAAGGTATCAATCCTTGTTCATGTGTGTCTGTGTGTATGCATGCACAAGTGCCAAGGAATACTATTTTACATTTAAAATTTATGGTTAAACAAAAAGCCCTATACAAAACCAACCAACAAATAAATAAAAAACCCAGCTAGCATTGTTTGTCTACTTGGCCAAGGCAGTAAAATTCTAACCCTCTTTGATAGGCTAATAAAATCCCTCAAACTCTTAATCTGATCATCTGAATTCTTACTGTTATTATTTGTTTAATAGTAAGATCTAGATTTAATAATTGAATTGAAAGGAATATCTTTAGCCCAACTCTGTAATTATTTGCTTTACTTTTCATGAGTCTAATAACAAGCTAACTTATTTTTATATTAAATAAATCATTTGGGGGCTGTTGAGATAGAATGCAAAGAAAGTTTGATAAAGAAATAGAATGTTGATGAAAGATAAAAGGCAATAGAAAGCAAAACTCTGGATCCCTTCTCATGCCACCCAACCCCTATCGCATGCTTCATCAGGACATAAGTTATGTATGATTCTCTTTCCCCCTGCCTGGTCTTAGGATAAAAATATAGAAGGCAATCAGCAAATATATTTAACTAGAAGCTGCTCCTAGGATTAAAAAAAAATATGTGGCTCTGTCAGCCAAAAGAACTTTGAAATATAAATGTTAGTAGTATTCAGATACTTAAGAAGTTTTGTAAGATAAGAAACATCTTTAAAAGATGAACAAAATCTTCTACTTGGTTTTTAAAATAAGGATCTTTTTTTTGGAGTCAGATAGTTGACAAAGCAAGAAATTTAATTGTTTTGCTATATATTGGTACATTTTTAAATATTTCTAATATTTTGGACAATACAATCTCTCAATGATATTCTTAAAATGTTTATACTCCTGAATTGTGAAAATGTATTTTGGGTTAAAGTGCTCTTTTCTAGAGTAAAGATTTGAAAACAATGTATTTGTTAAAGATTACTTTTAAGATGTCTTGAACTATTTTTTCCTTATATTGTAAATTATTGCTAAAATGATGTGCTTAGTGGCTACTGGGTTTTAAACTGGAATTTAAATGTCATCAGAGAGAGAAATATTCAGATTAAAATCAAGGAAACTCAAAATACCCAACTATTTCCTTCTGTCTCCCAGCTTAAACTTTTTCTTATCTAGGAATAATGGCTGGAATTTAAGTACATTGATCCAGCTCAGTCTTGGGTAGGAAGAGGGAAGATAAATCATTCTATTCTTAAAGCATTTTGGAAGGCTATGCTTATTGCTCTAGTTATCACCTTTGTTTTTTAGGTGATAGATGACTTTCTGAGGAAGTTAGGCTCAGGATTCTTAGTGAAGTACCAAGTGTGTCAGTCTCAATTTCTGAAGACTCTTGGCAGAGAATTATGGAAGAGTGAAGTTATATTTGAACAGCAGACTTCTGCACCCCACATTTATTGGTTTTTTCCTTTCCCTGATTTAATTGCACATTGCAGTCAATTAAAATGTGTTGGTATATATCTTTCTCAGAGGCTAAGTCTAAATAATGTTTTTACTGCTTCAGAGAATTAGAGAGTAGCATAAGGGTTATCAGGGGCTGGAGAAAGGGGAACAGAGGTATTGGTCAAAGGGTATGAATTTTCAGTTATGCAAAATGAGTGAAGTCCTAGAAATCTACTGTACATCCTAGTGTCTATTAACAATAGTGTAACATATACTTAAAATTTTGCTAGGTTGGGTGTGGTGGTGCATGCCTGTAATACCAGTGACTTGGGAGGCAGAGTCAGGAGGCTTAGAGATCAAAGCCAGCCTCAGCAGTTTAGCAAGACCTTAAGCAACTCAGTGAGAACTGTCTCAAACAAACAAACAAACAAAAAAGGTGGAGGGAAGTGATTGTGGGATGTGGCTCAGTGGTTAAGTGCCTCTGGGTTCACTGGTACAAAAAGAAAGAAAGAGAGAAAGAGAGAAAGAGAGAGAGAGAAAGAAAGAGAGAGAGAAAGAAAGAGAAAGAAAGAAAGAGAGAGAGAGAAAGAAAGAAAGAAAGAAAGAAAGAAAGAAAGAAAGAAAGAAAGAAAGAAGATCTTATATCAAGTGTTCTTATTACAACAAAAAAATTAAGAAATAATGCAAATGGCAGGAGGTAACTTTTGGAGATGATGAATATGCTTATGGAATTGCTTCTGAAAATGGTTTCATAGGTGTATATTTATTTATCTTCAACTTGAAAAGTTGTATATAGTACATTAAGTATATGCATCTTTTTGTTTATTGTTTATCAATCATACCTCAATAACACAGTTTTAAATAAATACAGATTTTAATATAGGGTTTTGGGTGCACATGATGTATATGGAAGATGTACAAAGCAATGGTAATAAATTTACAAAACATATCAGAGCTACTATGACTCCATGAATGAACTTGAAAAAAAAGTTTAAGAGAATACCTTCACATAACTTATCTGTGCTGTCCTGATGGATAGATACTCTGTTTTTATAATTGCACACAGCAGCAATAATTTATCAATCAAAACCATTTTCCAAATGTATTTGTAAATTCTGGATGATTACCTGAATATTGGTCCAATATGATCTTAAAATATTTTATTTTAGTAAAAATCATTGTAAAAATTAAATATTATAGAAAGTTATTGATTTGGAAATTGAGTTATCTGAAATTGCACCCACTAGAAAATCTGCTGCTAACACTCTGGAGTATTCCAATGCCACTTGACTATTTCCAAACACAATGTTGACCTTTTAGACAATATATTAAAAAAAAAGTTTGCTTAAGAAGCCAACTGTATATGGTTTTATAGTTAAGAAGTCAAAAAAGAACTGTTTTGATCAGTGGCATGTCTTAGAAATAATTTTATCTTCTAAGAAGACTGATTAGATGAGGAAGAAAGAGTTGTGGAGTATTTGTAAGCATAGTGCTTTTGTGACTTTGTAGCCAAGCTCAATAGTCTTCCTTGATATTTATCTTCCTGTTTTTAAAAACAGTGAAATGAGGGGAGTTAACATTTTACTTTTGGTCATTTTTTCCTACTTGTTTCCCATGTATGGCACCACATTTTTGTTGAACTGAAGTATTGAATCATATAAAATTTATGTTATGGAAAGGGCATGGACTTTGGTCCAGTCTGGCTTTCAATTCCGTTTGCCACTCTGCATCTTATGTGACCAGAGAAAACTACTTCTCTGAGCCTTGGCTAACCTCATCAGTAAATTGGGCTATTAATTTCTACCTTTTAGTACTATTGAGAATATTGAAAAGGAAAATTTATCTAAGATACCCATCATATAGTATATATTGTAGATATTAGGGCGATTTTATTTTTCCTATTGTTTGCTTTCATGTTATAGGCCTGGCTTCATTCTGTAGAAGTTATCTTCCATTAATCAGCTGTGTCTTTCCTCCCAGTTGATTTCAATGTTACAACTTTTCAGTGGATTTCTACATTCCCAGTTCTGTTGAAAGAGAGAGAGAAAAAAGAAAGAAAGAGAGGGAGAGAGAGAAAAACCAAACAGTATGCATTGTACATAACAACTGCCTGCTTATACAACACTGATATTTTCCATGATAGCAACATGGGTGTTACTTTTGGATTGCTGCTATCAGGAGACCCAGGTTTGTGTGCCTGGCAATTCCTGTCTCCAGTACTTCTTCAAAAGAAGGAAAAAAAAAAGAAAGAAAAAGAACACATCACCAGGTCAGGAATTTCCCTCTGAAGCCTCAACTTTTTCTCTGTTTCCAGGGTACACCCAACCCTTCCTGTAATCTTTGTGCTTTGGAGGGCTTCCAAAGGTGTCTTCTTTGTACCAGATTATTTGTTTAGAATTATAGTTTTAAATTAAGATTCTTTTAGGAAGTGATTTCTTTGTATTTCATTTTACCTCATGGGGATTAGTTTAAAAATTAGGAATACACTTCTATTTATGTTTTCAAGCAAAATTAAGAGAATTATGGATCTTACTTATTTACTTCATATTTTTCATAGATTTTACTCCTATAACATAGATAGATAGATACATACATACATACATACATAGGACATACTATTTCTAAGCTAAAAATAATCCTTGGCTAGTATTATTATTTCAGGACTATAGGTGCTAAAGAGCAGACCTGTGTTATGCTATCATTGATGTGGCATGTACCTAACAGAAAAATAAATAAATATATCACATCCACAAGTAAAATTTTCCATTCTTTAGTTAGTTGCCAGTAGTCCTTCTGTGTGTTCCAAACTCAATGTGAACTCCAAAGATAAGCAGAAATTGGCAAAAGAGTGTGTTAAAGAGTGGCTTTCTTTGCTGTTTTCATGAATTTTTTTCACAGTTCCATTTTAGTAGAAACTGTCTTTCTACTTTCAAATCTGCAAATTCAATGCAAATATCTTTCTTTTATATGTAAAATTTATTCATAATCAGTTTATGTCAAATGAGTTGCTGGATCAAGGTTTAACCTTTGAGGAATAAAGTACTATTTATTAAAATCCTTACCATTTGTTGAGTTTCTTCTTACTTTTCCCACATACAAAGGAAGGATAGGAGAGATGCTAAAAAAGTAAGGTTTGGAGTAAAAGCATTGACATCTGCAAACTGGGCTCAAATCCTAATTGCCCAACTACTGATTCTGTGTTATTTTGAAAATAGATGTTGTTGCTAAACCTAAATCTCAGGATTTTTTTTGTGACTAGTAAGAGCAGATATCTAGTGAACTCTTCTTCCCTGATACTTATTGAGCCAGGCACCTTGTTAAGTGTGATATGTAAGTTATCACTTTGTGTTTCTAATAGGGTAGGTTATGGTGTTTTTTCCGATGAGGAGACTGAGCTGAGAAAGTTTATAGCTTGCTCAAGGACATACTCGCAAGGAAGTGCTAGAGCTAGGATTCTAATCCAGGGTGTCAAGGTCCAAAACATGGACCCTTCCCATGAAACAGTACTGTCATTGTGCCCACTGTCACCTCACAGGCAGCTTCACCAAGGCTGGAGTTTGGAAGCTTTGGTATTTGATGAATATTTGGCTCAGGAAAGTCCTACTTCTTGTCCTGTGCTAAGCTAAACAATATTGTATTCATATTATCTAATGAGCCTTTGAAAAATACTGAAAATGTCCAGTAATTTAAAAAGGAGTCCCACCACAAATGTTTTCCAATCTCCCTCTGTCACTTCAATTACTGAAACCATTTAACGTAAAGCACAAATTGTGATAATGGTTGTTTTGTTGAATATCCAGCATTTTAAGATAATATCTTAAAAATATCTTACAGTATTATAAGTAGGACATTTATGTCATTTACAGCATGATAAATAGTTTGTAAACAGGAATTAAAGACTTAAATTTGCATCTCTAGGCTTACTTTTTTTTTTTCTTATTTACTAAGGTTAAGTTTATTATACTGTGGGATAAGATAGTCTGTAGGTAATTGTAATATGAAATTTAAATGGCTAATAAACTTATATTAATAACATGAATGCAAATATTTTACTGTAAAAGAAATTTTTTATAATTTCAAAAATAGTATTAGTCACCATGTTGACCAAATTGGTGCTCTAATGTTAAGTACCTGTAATAGTCCTAGAAAAATATTTTTAAATAGACAATTTTTAAATTTCAGACTTTAGGAATTTTAGATTTTGAAGTAATCTGGGCAAAACCTGTTTACTAATTTAGTTTTATAAAATATTATATTGTAGATAATTTCATAGTTGTATGCAATTCTCTTTGCAAACTAGTCTAGATATGTCATTAACATATTATTAGAAGAATACTTAATTGTAGGGCTTAATTAGTAGAATACTATCCAATTGATCTCATCTATAAGTTTTATTTCAAAGGTGAATATTATTTAAATAATAAAACATTTTTTCATGTGGGCTAAGGTTGTGGCTCAGTGATAGAGCCCTTGCCTAGAGCGTGTGAGGCCCTGGGTTTGATCCTCAGCACTCCATAAAAAAATAAAGGTATTGACAACTACACCTAAAAAATAAATATTAAAAAAATTTTTAATGTGGCATAAAAGTAGTTAATGTCCACTTCCAAGTGTAGTTTTGAATTTGCATATGTATTGAGATTAAAATAATTTTCTGCTATTTTACATTATATTTACATCCATTTGTCCCATTCTATTGGGTCATGCCCATCAGCATACCAATATACATTTATTTCACCCACCTGAAAAAAGTAAAAGCAAAATCACTGACCTTTTTGCTGCACTCCCTTCTCTACCACCTCATTTCTCTGCTTCCTTTTACAGTAAATTCCTGAAAAGTGTTACCAGTATTTATTCCTTTTATTTATAGTTCTTAATCTTCTCTTCAATCCCAGCCAAAATATTAATCCCACCCATTTCTCCATGACTTACTAGGAAGCAGCTTCTCTTTTCTCAGAACAGCAGCCAGTGAATCTAGGGTAATATTAGTCTGATGAGGCTGTGCCTCTGTTTCAAAACCCCCAATGGTTCCCCACTCATAAAAATAACCTAAATGCCTCTATTTCTGGTCTAATTTGTTACCACTTCTCACTTTGCTCATATTTGAATCCACACATATGGTCCCACCACAGGGCTTTGGCACATTCTGTTTCCTCTATTTAAAATGCACTTCCCTTAGATACTTTCAAGCTCCCTCTGAAGAGTTTCCAGGACCATCTATACCTGTGTCTTGCTTAAGAGTTTCATGGCATCACCTTTGATTTCAGTTATAAATACTATGAAGTCACTCTAGCCTTTTGCTTTCCACTGTCATCTTCCCTGGTCGGGAGAACTATGAGCAGCACACATAATCAGTGACTTTGTATGGAGGGAACAGTCATTCAAGGTAAGGCTCTAATGGACTTCTAGGCAGTGGTTGATGACAAGTTGGCTAGGTCCTGAAAACAGAATTGGAAGATCAGAAAAAGAAAAATTAGAGAGACAGCTAAAGGGATCCAAGTAGTTGAGCAAAAAGCATGCCAATCTACGTATCTCAAGTTAACTCCTATAGCATCCCACACAGAAGAGTGCAATAAAAAGATCGACTAGATAACTCATCCGGAGCTTCTCTTTTGGGCTATCTCAGTGCCACAGAAAGTGGCATGGAGTGGAGGCTGTGCATGGACCAACACTATGGACTTATTTCCATCAAGAACAAATAACCTACCCTATTGCCAGTAGCAGAGACCAACACTGAGCTCTTAGAGGATACTACCCTCAAGAAGTCCACCCTGCTACTAAGTGAAAAGTGGATTACATCACTCCCTTCTCTAATGAAAAGAGTAGAGATTTCTTGTCACTGGAACTGACACCTACTCCAGATATGGGCTTTGCCTTCTCTTTCCACAGTGTTTCTGCCAGCACCATCTTCTGAGAGCTTGTAGAATCAGATTTATTGTCATGTAATTCCACAAAATATTTTCATTTAATAGTGAGAAAGTTGTAATAATGACCACATGACCACAAAACCCGTGTCACTAGGAAATATCTAGCCTAATAGAATGATAGAAGAGCCAATTTAAACCACTGCCAAGATGCCAGGTTGCAGATAATATCCTGTGAAATGGCCTGCTGTTGTCCATTGTACTCCACATGCATTGAACCGTGAAGATATATGCTGCTATTTCCCAGCAGATAGAATGCATGGACCTGGAAACAAAGGAGTGTTTCCCTTCACCATCACTCTCACTGATCCAGAAATTGAATTTTTGTCATCTCTACTTGCAACCTTAGGCTATCCTGTATTTGTAGTGTTAGTTTCCAGGTAGAGAAGGCTTCCACCAGGGATCACAATTTGAGCTATGAACTGAACTGAAACTATTATTACTACCTAATTAGTTTGAATTTATCTAGAATATTTAGTACAATTCTAGAGATAATCAATTCTCCTTATCATGAAGAGGTAATGTTTTTGCTTAGTGCAGAAAGGAGGAGTGTATCTGGAATTCAAGATATTTGTGGGAGCATCTCTTGGCTTGCATAACTGTGAGTAAGCAATGGTATCAACGGCAGTCCAACAAGGGTAAGGCAATTAAGGATTCAGATGAAGGCTAGTGTCTCCATTATCTGCAGTGCTAATGATAGGTAAATCTATAGTGTGTGATAGAGAGGGGCCATGGTGAGTATTCATTATAGACTCAGGACCAGTTATGGCAGGGTGGCCTGTGGCTTGTTGCACTAACCCTCTACTGTTAAATCTTTAGTAGAGCTCTCAGCTAGCTACCAGACTGAAACTGATATCAGACTTGGTGAATGTGCTTAAAATGTAGGGCATAAGCAGATATGTATGGTGTAAAGCATGGACTGTACCAGATGCCTTTTATACTTAGACTCACATCCTCTTGTTCTTAACTCTAGTTCACAGCTGTGGTAAATAGTTCCCTGAGTACTTTGACTCAATCTATGCTTCCACTTTCCTGCCTGAAGTTCTCTAAGTCACTCACATGTGACTTAGGACATTGGAACCAACATCGAATATACCTATGTGCAGCCCAAAAGTGCAGGAAAAGTTATATCCCCCAGGGGGAACCCTTAACCAATGAGGATATTGCCACTGATTCTTTCATTAGAAGGGCAATCTATATTTTCCTTAGAAATTCCAGCAAGATGGAGCTACAGTTGTCCTCAGTAATGCCCAGCTTCTTTTTCTTTGAGATTTACTTTCCCTTATCCCTTCCTACCTAAACTATTTCTTTACAAGTCTTCACCTAAGACTTACTTCACAGGAATTATGAAATAATATTCCTCAACTCTTTCTAGGTCCTTTAGTCCATTGTTTTTAAACAGTAGTTTTCCCCACCACATATAGCATGGGTATTTGGTGGTAATGGTGTGTGTGTGTGTATGTGTGTGTGTGTGTGTGTTTTCTGCCATAACGCTTTTGTGAATGAATTAACTTAAGCTAATTTCTGTGCTACCAAACAAGATAACCTATATAATTATAGGAAAAATATGCAGTCGGTTAACAACTAACTTCAGAACAACTCATTATTATTTATTGAATGATTTGATACTGAATTACAATAGACTATTGTAATTATAGATCTCTAAAGATAGAATTCTATTATTAATAATTGAGTGTTCTTACTTTTCCAGGTTTCTCTCAAGCAAACCAATTTGACTTTGGAGTTGATAACGCTGAGCTGGGAAACAGTGTGCAATTAGTTTCTTCTTTCCGGTCAATTACTTGTGATGTAGAAAAAGATTCAAGTCATTCAACTCAAATTACATGCTATACTAGGTCTGTTTCAAAGTATCTTTAATAACATCATTCTTTTGATGTCAGAAATAGTTTATGCATATTGGTATTGGAAGAGTTTTGTCACTCTGTATATTGCAAGCAATCTTTCTGATTATCAGTTATGTTTGATTTCATAATGTTTAGATCATTTTATACCTTTATTATATTCAATTATAATGTTCTTTCCACATATGGGCATGATAAAAATATATCCTATATCCTTTTTCATTTTATTAGAGCCATTATCTTATCATTATTGAGCTCTTTTAGGAGATAAATGGCTACTATTAAATTGTAATGATGTACCTCAAAATACCAAAATTATGCTTTCCTGTCCAATTTGATTAATTTTGTTCAAAATATTCACATAGTTATTAAGATTAAAGATGATCATTTTGCATAGTGACATTTCAAGTTCTTTCCTTTCAGCCCAAATTGATGTGTATTATTAGCATCTTAGGAAAAAAATTAATTTTTTAAAATTGCAACATCTTCAGTATTGACCTTAGCAACAGCATATATTCCAGAGGATTTCATCCACATTACCCATGCTGTTTTTCAGCATCAAAAGCTTCCTTAAGGGAAAAGTTGATTAATACTTTATTTAAAAAAAACACAGCATGAAATATAAACCAAGGCAATGTTAGTACTTTTAAATGAATATTATTGTTTTTTATTTTATTTGTTATCCTCTTTAATTAGCACCAATAAACACAGACTAGGCATTTGCTGAGCCATATGATATTATAATTTGCAACATGGAGTGGTTCAGGATGGACCCCTTCTCACATGGAATTTGGCTATAAGTCAATTTGAATTTTAGACATTTTTACTTTCAAAAATAACATGTGATCTGGAGCAGTATTTTTCATTAATATTATATGCTAAATAAAATGATTACATTTCTCATATATTCTTCATTTGCCTTCCAGAGCAATGCCGGAAGATTCTTACACTGTTAGAGTCAGTGTGGATGGGATTCCTATTGCAGAAAATAACACCTGCAAAGGTCATATCAATAGCTGGGCATGCAGCTTTAATGTATGTGGATCTTTTCTTATTTACAAATAATTGAGCTTGTTTTCTTTCTTTCTTTTTTGTAAGAACTAGGTTTTTACTTTCTGATTTGACAAGTTCTTTCTTTCCATATCCGCCAGTAATTGAAACTCCACAGTAATTGAATCTCTTTTATTTCTGGTTTGTTCCTCCTCCATTAAATTAATTTTATTAATGAATTAAATATTTATACTTTCAAATTATTTTCTTGGTCACACTTTTTTCCTATTTCTGCTTTTAGTTTGATTCTCCCTTTTCCTATTTTCAAAGGATTCACCACTTACTTCATCTTGAACAGCAACACAACTACTTTTCTTCTCTGTGTAATTTCTAATATAGTGAACCTCCACTCAGATTTAATTTCCATGAATAGAAGTGTTTGTAAAACTACATTTTCTTCTCAGCACCATCTCATATATTCTTAAAAATTGTATTTAGGTGTTAAGTGGTGGATTCTGAATACCACAGTCGTCCAATATGAGATGGAATGCTAAGCAAAACCATAATGACCTTTGTCCTTGAGATGATTCTGATTCCCATATATTTCTGGCTCCCATTTTTCTACCTAGATGTGGAGCCAGGTTTTGGTTCTTTGAATATCGTACTTAAATAGCTCCCAAATGAGCTAAATTCAGAATAAGTTGACTGGACTTCTTCTTATTCCTCCTTCAGCCTATTTTTTTTTCTCTGATTATTTCTCTCCATCTCAAGTTAGAAACTTGTTACTACCCTTGGTTTCTCTCTACCTTCACTTTTGGTTGCACAACCATTCAGAAGCCAAACTGTAATGATCCTATCCTCTGACTCAGCTCTTAAGTTCTTCTTCTTTCACCCATGACCTTTGTTTTGATACTGGTCTTATCATCGTTCCCCTGGTTACGGCAATAACCTCTCAATAGGTCTCTCTACCATCTTCATTGAACAGCTCAGTTTTACCCTCCTCACCACAAACATTGTCTCCCCCTTGCTTGGAATTTCTGCTTCACTCATTGTGAAGGAGGTTTTCTTAATTCTGTCACAGCCAGGAACCTAGTCAGTCTCCAACACTGACTTCTAACACGTTCCCCCAGATGGAGGACTCATATAGTTGACTCAGTTCTATTTAGTGAATTATTTCTCATAACTCAGGAGTCTTAAAATTCCCCCAAGAAGATGTGGGAAATTTCTTCCATAGGATTCCTCAGTTGTAAAGTGGCTTAATTCTGTAATTCAGAGTTCAAATAGGTTCTTATAACGTCATTGTGAGAATTATATGAAATAAATTAATAAAGCAATCTAAAAGTAATTGACACATAGTACTATATTTAAGGGTTTTAAAAATATTTATCTGCATAGCTTAGCACACAGTCCATTATGCAGCAATTATTTTTAATATGATGTTTTATAAAATACCAGCCAGTAAAATTGACTTCTTTCTCAAGGTAAATGTTAAAATTTCAAGCTAACAATATTTTGAAATTAAAGAGAATTTTTAGGGGATTAGGAAAATATTTTGTAAAATCAGAAAATGTTTTAAATTTTATTTTTATAAGAGAGGAAAATATTTTGACTATCATATTAGAATATTGTTGAGATATAAATAATTTAAGAAGTATTTCTACTGCATAAAATTGAAATAGAAATGACTGCTTATTAATATTATTATTTTACAGGCAAAAAGTTTCAGAACCCCAACAATAATGAGTATCACACCTTTATCTGGAACTCCAGGTTTGTGCTATTATAGCTAAAATGCTTTTGGTTTTGTGGTCATTTAATTTCTTTTCAGTATATAAAGTGTTATAATATCTGAAAATTCTGATTATAAAATTCTTATCAATTTTTTAAAAAGTAGTTTTTAAAGTCAGCATACTATACTGATACACACCTACTAATGTTTAGAGCAGTGCAATTCACAATAGCCAAGTTATGGAACCAGCCTAGGTGTCCATCAATAGATGAACGGATAAAGAGAAGGTGGTATACATACACAAGGAGTTCTACTCATCAATAAAGAAGAATGAAATTATGGCATTTGCTGGTAAATAGATAGAACTGGAAAGCATCATGCTAAGTAGATTCAGAAAGTCAGGGGTGGATCTTTTCTCTTATATGCTGAAACTAAAGAGAGAAAAAGGAATAAAAACTCTATCTCACACACACAAAAAAGAGAGACCAACAAAATATAGGAAAGGGATCAAGGGACAAGGAGGATGATCTGGGAAAAGAGAGGTATTGGGGAATGAAATCAACCAAATAATGCTATGTGCATGTACAAGTATATCACAGTGAATCCCACTTTTGAGTATGATTATAATGAACCAATTAGAAAAAAATAGAAGAGAGACCAAGAACGTAGAGGAAAGGGATCAAGGGGGAGGGAAGAGAGGAGGAAAAGGGGAAGTACTGGAGAATTAAATGGATCAAATTATGTCCTGTGCATGTACAAATGTCACAGTGAATCTCACTATTATGTATTATTACCATGTACTCACTATTATGTATTACCATGTATTTAATGTTTTAATGAAAACATTAAAAATTATTTTCAATGACTACATCTGAATCTACTATAAGGTATTTAATTTTCCCCAGTTGGACATTTAGTTAACTTCCAATGTTTTATTATAATCATAACTATGATTATACCAGTTTATAAACCCAACAGAAATATGTGAGATTGTCTTTTTTTTTACCACCTGGACAATTGTAGGTACTAATTGTTTTCAAGTATTTATATGAAAAATATTGTAAGTTTTAATTTTTTCTAATTATTTGATTTATGTCATTAAATTTATTTTTTAGTCTTATTGAATGAACACTTGCATTTCCTTTTTAAATAAAGAAGAAATATCTCCTTGGCTTAATTTAATGCTAGTCATTTTTATATTAAGTTTAATAATTTCATTTGAAGGATTATTTATATATTAAATATGTATATGTCATATGTGGGAAATTTTCTTAAATTTATCATTTGCTCTGAACATATATTATTTTTCCATCAGATGGCTTTTAATTCTTATTTCAAATCTACAGGTCTTAACCTTTATTATTCGTTTCTTCATTTTTATGCTGTAGAAGACTTTGCCATCCTGATTATATAAATTTTCACCTAGTTTTCAGGAATTTTTATTTTTTATATTTAATTTTTATTTCACCTAAGGTTTGTTTTATTTTTCAGTATAAAGTAGGAATCATTATCTTTTCAAATAAATTACAATTGACCCAAATAATATTCACTTAAAAATGTAACCAGTCTTCAGTGATACACCTCTTTAACCTATAAATACTTGTAGATACTCATTCAATGTTTTGCTTTACTTATTGAAACTTTCTGACAAATGCTGAACACTCTGAAAAACATTAGAAATAAATGTCAAGATGCTGGTTTTATTGTGAAAAATCTAGAGTTTTGGAGTTATGTACATGGAGAGATTCTTACACAGAACCACACAGAACTTTTTTGTGTTTTTTGTTTTGTTTTTAGGTACACTAATAACAATCCAAGGCAGAATCTTCACTGATGTCTATGGAAGTAATACTGCACTAAGCTCAAATGGGAAAAATGTTAGAATTTTGAGGTAATTTTTGATGTGGAAATATGTTCTTATAGCTAATAGATGAGATATGATATTCCAACAATAATGGATCCAGTGATATTAAGACCCACAATTATGTGAAGGGACTAGCCAGTATTTCTTTAGCTACATTAAAGGAAGAAAAATAGACTGTTGGTTGATTCATTGACATGAAACAATGGTCTGTATTCCTTTCTTTTTTGATATGACATAATTCCTTCTTTTACTGTGATGGGTTTTATTAATAGAGAGCACATGAAAGCAAGGTTAATAGTAATTGATTTATAGTCATAGAACTCTATTAATGGAAGACTATCATTTAATTTCCTCATTGTACATTTTTCAAAATACCTAAGGCCTGGAGGTCACATAACCTAGTCAAGGTTAGGAGTAGAATCCAAGCCTTCTAACACACTATTTGGCACTTTACTGTACTGATTGTACTGTGGTGTATTGTAAAAGTGCTGAGGAAAAATAATTCATGCACAAGCTAGGGTTTGAATCTTGATTCCTCTATTTACCAACTGTGGACAAGATTGCAACATTGGCTAGTTAACTAATATCAAAATCTAATTGTCCACATTTGGAATGGAAACTAACATTGTCAGTAGAGTATCCTCCTATAGCTTATAGGGGATATTTCAGTCCTGCCTTAGAAGAAGGAAAGCCCTGTTCATTTCTTGCAGAAGTAAGCATGGACTTGTGACACAGCTTTTAAGATGTTTCATGCTTACTGAATACATGTATAAAACAGATAAATAAACAATTTAGGCAACAATTAGAGGATTATCAAATATAAAAGTTCATATACCCACATACATATGCATACATAAATTTGTAAGACAAGCAATTTGAAAGATTTTGTTAAATGAAATCAAGGTGACTTGTCTGGCATTCTATGAGGTAGAACTCTCAATTAAATTACATGTGTATGAAGCTATCATGTTCCAGAAATGTTCATATTGATTCCTTGTATATAAGAAAATAACCACTAGAAACTCATTGAATGTTTTATATATACAATTGAGTATAAGTAAAGATTTTGTTTGCTTCAATATAATTGTTATAAATGGTTAACATTATAATTCTTAAATAGGATTTTCTTAGTTATGCTTTGTCATAATGAAGCCAGGGAGAAGAAAGTTTGACTTCCAAAAAGAAATTCTTTTTTTCCCCCACTGTGATTGAATTTTATTTCTGTTTAATACCAGGAAATTAATGAAACTTACTTCATAAAATCACAACATCAGGATTATCAGTGATGCCAGAGGGAAGCCTACCTAGCTCTGGTACTCTGGCAATCCTCAGATCATATATGCATAGGAATTTTTTTCACTTGCCTGTTAATGGACAGATGAGAAATTCTTAGAAACTCAAGTTATTTTGTTTGCACCACGTTAATTAGGGCACCAAGACTGCCAAGGCATTTCATTGTGCCTGAATTCCATTAGGAAGGAATCTATAGCAGAGTTGTGTACTGGGCAGGAAGCTAGGAGATCTGCTTCCCAGATCTTGTCCATTCAGCTATCTCCAAATTCTGACTGGGAACAAATTACAGAGGAGACACAAAAGAATAGAGGGACGAGTGCCACTATGGAGCTTTTCATCTAAAAGATCATGTGGAAAAAATTCTGATAGATATGTATATGCATACCACCAATGGGAATTGCCAAGTGTGGGAGCTTGGGTTTGAATTCCTTCTCTACCCCTCACTAGATGCAGGTGTGTATCTCTGTAATAGGTCCTGTATAATTTATCCCTAATCTGAATTTGGAGATTTGGCTTAATGAACAAGGTCTGGAAAACAGAACTGCCTAGTGCATAGCCCTTCGCTATTGACTCTTCCTAATGGAACTCAGGCACAAGAAAATGCCTTGGGAGCTCTAGTGTCATAATTAACTTCTCTGCCTTAATTTCTTCATTTGTTAAATAGAAGGATTATAGTTACTGAATCATGGGATGGTTGCAAGGATTAAATGTAATGAAAGCCTGTGTCATCTGCTAAATTTTTTATTGAATTGGAATAACATAGGTTAGAAGAATTTTAACTCATGCTCCTCTATAATGGGCACAATAATTCAGTTTACTTGCTTTATAAACCATGTGTAATGGTCAAGTGAAAGGACTTGTGTGTAAAAGTATATTTAAAAGTTCAGTATTCTCTTCAAATGGAAGTCATTTTTTTATAGTTTGTGTGTCAATTTATTTTGAGTGTGGAATTTGTTGTCACAGAAGCTGGGTAGTTTATTCTGGTGTTGCAAAAAATATAATACCAGTTACCTACAAGCCTCCAGTAGCACCAGGTTCTATCAGTATGACATTTATTTGAAGATTATGTTTCTATTGGAACTTTTCCAATAGAAATTGCTTGAACTTTAAGTGGATAAGTCTATTTGTTTCTATGCTTTCTTTTTTTATAGTACTTTGTGTGTGTGGTACCGGGAATTAAACTTAGGGCCTTGTACATGGTAGGCAAGTGCTTCCTGTGGTACTTAATATCTTCTAACGTATCAAATACGTGAAGAATATCATGACTATTAGGGTCTCCCAGTAAAATATCTGTCCCATAAGAGCAGGGCAGTCCCACACTTACTAATATGATCCAGTACCTAGAGACACATAATCATGTTCACTAGATGTTTTTTGAAGCAATGAGTGATGGATACTAATAATGGTACTTATATGAATATAAACAATGGTATTTCTGATTGAGAGAAAATTATATAAGGTGACCAGTTAGCTGGTCACCTTATATAATTATATAATGATGGGAGGAGAACATTTTAAAATAATATATTAAACATAATTTTATATTTTCTAATAAAAATATTTATGCAGAGTTTATAATGGAGGAATGCCCTGTGAGCTTCTCATACCACAATCTGATAATTTGTAAGTAGCTAAAATAATTTTTTTCTTTTATAAACAGGAGATAAGCATACTAAATTTAAGTAGTAATTGTTAGCAATGCTACATAGCTAAATGCTTCAAAATACAGTATGAATGATAATATTTTATATTATACATAGTATTTTATATTATACATTAGCATTCATTTATATAGTTAAGTGCTACTTTATACTCTCTTCTGTCTCCAATGTAGTATGATATGGGCTGTTTATTTTATTATGAGGAAAGATGGTTTAAGAAATATCATAAACAAATAAGTATTTTATTTCATTATATTTAAAATTCTTTAGAAGAAATACTAATGGCAATATCAAAGCTACTCACAAAGTATTTCGCTATTAAGTGAAATTTTCTTTAAATATCTTTAGTGAAGTCTGGGGATTATTTTCATCTTGCAGAAATTTTAGTTGTACCAATGGTTTCCATCCTAATACAGATTCTGAAATTAATGAGACGTTTTCAGGGAAAAGTAACATTTAAAACAAATAGCATCTCTATACAATTTAATATTACCATATACAATTTGTTAGGTATGGTCTAAAACTGGATCATCCGAATGGAGACATAGGCTCTATGACTTGTAAGATAACTGGAACTTACATTGGTAAGTATCTATCGTCTTGCTTCAAAGGTGTTTGATTCTACTTCCCTGTTTTGGGTTTTCCTATGCACCTCCCTGCTGTTTTTATCTTTTTTTTTTTTCTTATTTCCTCTCTTCCTTGCTTCTTTCACTTTCATATGAGCATCTATGAATTTGCTTCTTTTTAAGGTTTACATATAAAGTAAACTTCTTTAGGTTTCTTTTTTTTCCTTCTTTCTTTGCCCAGAGGATCCCATGACTAATTCTGCTATTTTATCTAGTGCCTTAATTTGATGCTTCTCTTTTCCCCTTGCTCTATGTACCCTAGACATATCCATCTTTTAAATCTTGAATGAGTTTCCTATCTTCTGTTTCAGCCTTTTGTAAACATCCCATCCTGAAAATTTTATATAAAATATATGTCTTCAGAAAATCTGCTTTTTGATCTGGTTTTATATTTTCAAATCCTGCTTTTCTTTTCCTTGTTAGGTTTGTAACAATTTTTAGCTCTCTGTTGTGTTATTGTTCTTGACAATTGTAGCCTCTATAAGGAGATGGACACACTGTGTGCTCCCCATCTCTCAACTCCTCACAGAGGATATGAACAATTAAGTAGCTGCTGAATGAATAAGAGAAATGTCAGGGTTACATGGTTATTTATCTGTTCTTTTATTATTATTCATTCATAATTATATTTTGTCAATTTTTCTAGCTATAATCTCAAGATACCTATTATGCACGTTTTAAAAATTATATGTAATTTTTAAAGACAGTTCAGCTTTTATTTCTTTGAGGACTAATGCACCATTGTTTAAGTACAGTTTTTATATTATATTTTTTCCACTTTTAAAAATTAGCTTTATATTATAGAGTTATCGTTTTCCTGTGATTTGGAATTTAATTGATTGTGTATTTTAATTAATTCCAGGTCATCACAATGTCAGCTTCATTTTAGATAGTGATTATGGAAGGTAGGTCACTTTGTAAATAATAGTTTTCATAATTGATTGAACTTGGTAAATAAAATAAAATGTGTATTTACTGTGTGCAATAGATGCATAGATTAAAGAATTAAATACTTTCTTTCCTCCAAATTAATATTTAAAGTGTCAGTGACTCCTTTTTACTCAAAATTTGTGTCTCACACATGACCTTTCAATTGTTGGGAATTTACCATTAACTTAAACAACAGATAAAACATTTTAACTGTAATATGGAAAAGTGTTATTTTATTTCTTGCTACTCTTCTGATTTAATTATAATTCTTTTAATAACTAAAGTAATTAAATTTTGATTTGGTTAATATTAGCATAGATAAAATCTCTTGATCAGTATTCTCATAAAGGTTTTTCTTTTGACCTATTAATGCAATACTATTGCAAAAAATGGTAGACTTTTCAATTGCACATCTTAACATGATTGTTAATAACATACATTTATTGTTTTTAGAAGAACTGGAACTCATTTCCAGATGTTTTGCTTCCTGATTTCAATGACTTTCATATGTTCATAGAAGTATCAGAATATGAAAATCTTAACACATGTTGCCAACCATGTATTATAGATAATAATAGTAATAAACTTCTAGTGGTAAGCATGCTGCTAATCACTTTACATACATTATCTAGCTTAATTCTCTAAACAACCTGTAAATGAAAACTATTGTCTGCCCATGTTACTCACTGGAAAAATGAGAGGAATGTTAAATAATTTTCCCAAGGATATTCAGCCAGTAGAAGCAATACTAGGTAAGCCGATCCATGAAGTCCAACTCTAGAACCTGATCTTGTCATTCCAGGACTGATCAAAGGTTTCAGCCACCAATACCACATATTACTACTACTTCACATTCTGACAGGGTTCCCTGCCATGCAGGATAATTACACTCTTGGAAACATTTGCAAATGTGTGAGGGACATTTACTGACTGTCAAGGTAACTGGGTATGTTAAAACCCTTAGTGGGCAGTACCATGACATGCCAAACCTAAATGAATTGTTCTGCCCAAAATGTCACAATGTTTTTCATTGAGAAAATAAGACTGTTAATAAAAATTAAAATAAATTGCATTATTTGCCATTCAATACTAACATAACTATAGTAGACCAACAATATTTACCATTTAATGTCAATTTAAACTAGATCTGTTGATTTCTTTTTTGTATCAGAAGACAGATTCAGCAATTAGGAGTTTGAAAAGAATGACAATACTACAATCAAAGTAGGTTTTGTTCCTGTTCAGTGTTCACAGATTACAAGAGGAAGTCATAATCAGTCCATCCCTGCATGGAACTATAATTCCAGTTGGACTAAAATCCACTATCCTTATATTTAGAGACCATCTAGTGCTAGACAACTAGGAACAAAACATTTAATACAAAGTGATGCTGTTTTATAAGCTAATATAGACTTGACTAAACCCATGATGAATAGTATAATTCAAGAGCAAATCAGAGTGGAAGATACAGAAATGATGCAAATATACACCTTTGTAACTTATAATGAGACAAATGACCTAGAACCCCATGATTTAACAACTATTCTCTGTGAGGACAGAACTACTTACATATAACTTGTTAAGGCTGGGCAATGTAATTTTCCCCCAAAATATTAGAAAAACATGTTAGAAGCAGCTATTAAATTTTGCTTGATTTCTAGAACTATATATACTTCTTTTAGGATCTTAGTCTCACTCTTGCTTAGGTGAAAAAAAAAAGACTTCTTAGTTCTAAGTTTGTATGACACATATTCCTTGCCAAATCCATCATATGTCTCTATAAGAGAAATAATTATCCAAAAATAGATTTTGAGTGATCAAGCCTGAATATGGTTGCTAAGTATAAATAAATCAATATGCCATATTAACAGGCCCAGAAATTTCTTGTTTAAAACTGCCAGAAAATTTCACATATAGTATAAGCAAGAATACTGCATTAGATTATTGATTCTGTGATCTTACTATATGATTTCTTTTTTAAAGCCAATGGCTAACTTTTGATATTAATGCCTCATAATTGAGAAAAATGTGTTTCTATATAAAATATTCTCAGGAACTTAAGATAACTGTTAAAATATGATATTTACTACTTAAAAATCTAGTTTTCAAAACTACATAACATTTTTAAAATGGTAAACCACCCTGTAAATTATAAAATTCACATTTACAAATTTCAGGAGCATTCCTGAATATCAAATGAACTAATTAAGGATCACTGTGGCACCATTCCGTATCTCTTTTAATAGCCAACCTTCTCTCTGCTATTTTCCCCAAGTTCAAATGACAGCTGTTTCAAACTGATAAGGTTCACTGAGGCTGCCCTTAATTGAGAAATGCCTAGTCATTATCAATGAATTAGTGAAAATCACCTCAGTGTCATCCCAAATAAATTGCATTCAAATTTTATTTCAGGAGGCAATTTTCCCACTAACTTAAGAAGCAGAGTTAATTTTTGAGATTTAGGATCTGGCCAGACATAAGATTTTTGAAGTTTGCATGGTTTCAGATCTTTGCAAATCAACTGAAAAGCTTATAACATAAAAATACACACTCTAGTAGGAACTTCTTAAAATATAATTTAGCATAAAATATTTCCAAAGACTCTTTAGTCCTACAAATGTACATTGTAATGCCTGGGTTAGATTTGCAGGGAAGTTCATTGTTGATCTCAACCAGAAGATTTACATTATCCCTTTAGATTCTAGTTTGATGTAGTATTATTATGCTGAATACATTTTGGGCCTTGAAATTCTCATTTGAATTTATTAAACTTTCTAATTATAAATTTTATTGAAGTTATTTAATTTCTAGGATTCTTTCCCTTCCTATCCCTCCAGGTTATGGAAGTGTAAGTATCTATCAAGATATAAGGTTTTGTGTTTATTAAGGATGATGTAAGCCTGGTGGATTGTTCTTAATTTGCTCTCATCCATCTGTATCTCACACTAATCAATGGAAAGGGGAGCGAGTATTGTGTGGTACCCCAGATTAGGAGCCAGGGCTCTCTGCTCAAACTGCCTGGCCTCCCATTCTGTTTCTACTGCTTATTGGCTCTGTAACCTTGAGAAATTCAAAGAAATTCTTTGTTTGTCACCTATCTCATGTAGTTGACATCAAGATCAAATCGCATAATAAACTGAAAACTCTTAGCAGGAGAGCTCAGCTGTTACAAAAGGTCATCCTCCTGTGTTATTTTTATGGTTGCTTTTGTCATGTTTCTTAAAATCAACATTGTTAAGGAATAATTTACACATGACAAGATGCACCAATTAATATTATTTGAAGTGAGCAGTTATACTAAACTGTGGCAAATGTGTATGTGTGTGTGTGTGTGTGTGTGTGTGTGTGTGTGTGTGTGTGTGTAACCAACAGCCAAATCAAGATGTGGAACTTTTATCTTCCTCCAAAAGTTTCAACGCATTCCCTTGCAAGGCATTTGATGATCTCTATCACTATAGTTTTTAAAAAATCCTAAAATAAAGGAAATTTTTAAAAGCTGGAAATTTTACCTTTTTTTTTAAACAGGAGTTTCCCACAGAAAATGGCATATTTTGTTTCCTCTCTGAATAAAATTTCAATGTTTCAAACATATGCAGGTATGTGACAATTTTCTCATTCTGTATATGTGTATGGAAAAAAGTAATTATGCTTCATTTTATTAAATCAAAGGTAATAATCACTTTATGGTATACTATGTTATTTTATGTACTGCTAGGAAAGGAAAAATACCTAATATGGAGAATCTAAAAGCAGGTTGACATTAAATTAGGACACCCAAAACTACATTCTTTGTGTAAGATGAAAAAATGAACTTGTCACAGTAACAGAGACAGCACAAAAATTTTCATATCTCAACTTTAGTTGTTGGTTAAAGAGGAGAAAAAAGTTTTCCTGTTGATTTAAACCACAAACCAGTACTCAGATTTGTGCTGTCAGTGTGATCCAAAATAATTCTCAAGAAGATTTTAGTTTAATTTAATTTAATTAGTTTCAAGAAGTCTCAGGTTGATAGTCTCCCTAGTAGAGTGGCAGAAGGAAGCACAAACCCTCCCGCAAGAACCATACCCAGTCAGGAGTGATGGAGAGATATGTTTGAATTTTACAAATACTAAAGTGTGAAAAAAATGTATGTTTTTAGAATCAATCAAATGTGAAATATCTTGATTTTTCCTAGAAATTTATTTAAAATTCATATAATGCATAAAACTTTGAAGTCATTAATAAGAAAATATTTAGTAAGAATTTGCTGTCTGTCATGTACTGGGTTATTTTATCAACATACCTAAAGCTTTTATGTACAAAGCCACAGAAAGTCTAATCATAGTTAAATGTATTACTATATGAAAAAATATAAATATAAAATGTTAGTCCTTAAGCATAGATGCATTCTTCAAGAGCCTATGGAAGAGAAGGCGTTTGACCTGCCTTTCTGTGTTTTTCTTTTTCTTTTTCTTTTTTTTTTTTTTGGTACTGGGGATTGAACTCAGGGGTTCTTAATCAATTAGCCACATCTCCAGCATTTTTTATATTTTATTTAGAGACAGGGTCTCACAGAGTTGCTTAGCACCTTGCTAAGTTGCTGAGGCTGGCTTTGAACTCCAGATACCCTAACCCTAACCGTAACCCTGCCTCAGCCTCCCAGGCCATTGGGATTACATGCATGCACCACTGTACCCTGCCTGGGTTTTCTTTTGGAGCTAAATATCTATACTCAGCCCAGTTTTTCCTTACTCACCTGGTCTCCTGATAATCATTTCTTTAGTACTAGTCACCATTAAAGCCCAGTCACCCATTGAATGTCAGTGTCAGTGAAAGCCATGTTTATTATCCTCTTTGCAGGACTGCATCAGAGACAAAATAATGAAACACTTAATTCACTCAATTAGTAATCCACTACCTACACTAAATTACGTGCTGTGGCTAGGTAATTCAGAATTTTTTTTAAATGAAGCATTTGGGATGATGCCTGATATTCCTGACATATGATATTTAATGTGATTTTTCCCCCCAGAGGTCACTACAGTTTCACCTTCAAAAGGAAGCACTGGAGGTGGCACCACACTAACAATAAGTGGGAGGTTCTTTGATCAAACGGATCTCCCAGTGAAAGTTCTAGTTGGAGGTATTTTTCATGATGCTTAATGTACTAACTTATAGGAATAAATCCTGCCTATTCTTGTTTAATTTGTATGTAAGAAAAATAATAGTTTTTTCTCTGTTGTCATTCATTTAAACCTGGGGGTATTCATGCAGCATTTTGTTCTGGGCTCCATGCTCTTCCTTCTGCTATTTTTCCATGAGGGCCACTCCTTGCATCCCTTAGTGGGCACTTTATCTCTAAGAGGCATTTATGGAAGTATCATCACTGCCATCCACAAATTCCCCACCACAGTTAAGAACACACCCATTCTCTATTTAATAAGCTCTTAAATCTCCTTGAACTTCTGTTACTTCCAAAAAGTTATTTAATTATGATGGAATTTAATTAGCATTTTGGCATATTCTGCCCATACTTTTTCATATACTGTGCATTAGTAGTTTGGCATGATACAGGCCTTGGAAAAAGCATAAATTATTGCGTTATCTGTTTATGAATACATATAGGGCTTGGTTCTCTAGGTATGGGTCACTTTTATGTGTCTGTTCTGGATCTATGTAGAGATAGTGAAAAGGGAGGTTAGGATGAATGTCATAGTGGTACTCTTTCCATTGAGTCATAGGACATCACTTTCTTGATAGGTAGAGGACATGATGCTCACTCTTGTAACTGGGCACCTACATTTTTCTTCTCACAGCCCCCTTGTTGGGGTATCTTCTGCCTTTTAAGGAATCTTCCTATGAGTCTGCCAAAATGTGATTTCAGAAGAGAAGACAGATATAAAGCAACTTCTAATATATGTACAATAGCTTTCTAGCCCACATGAATCCTTGTTGATCACCTGCCCAACTGTTAAAACATAAGATTTTTGACATTCATATAACACATTATTTGGATCAGATTTTATGTTTTCAATATTAAAATCAGGGTATAAAATACTTGTAATTTATATAATATGCTTTCTTATCTGATATTGTGTCTGTTTTGATTAGGATACCGTTGATGTCCCAAAAGGATGTCAGATTTCTGTTCTATATCATTGCCATTAATATGGCAACCATATTGAGATTTGGAATCATTGATAATTTTTTAAAGATAATGAACCTTATAGGAATGTTTTCTGTGCTTCCAGTAAAATGGACTGTGGGTTTAATATATTATTTGAATTGACTATTTCCTATTTTAATTTTCTTGCATCCATAAGTCATTCAAATAGTGAAAGCATTAAAAGTTTACATTTTCCAGGCCACCAAACAGAAACTGGCAAAGGTATCTCTCTCCATTTTTCTTGTCCTCATGTTTGTTAACTCTAGTAAATACTGAGGGCTGACCCTCATGAGGCAAACACAGAGGTCTTAAAAGAGACTCTTCTATGAAGTCTAATTATGTTTATGTAGAAGTTATAATTTTTTCTCTTTAGTCCCTTGCCCATTTGGGACACAGTTTTTCTGTTAAAATACCATTTCAAAATTATTGTCCCTGTTGTTTTAATTTTAAGAACGTGGACTATACTATCATTTTTCCTACTTAAGAGGTCGTAACCTACCTTTAAATTCTGGACTTCATGGGCATTCTGCAACTTTTCTCTGAGAAACAAAACAAGTCTTCACTTTTACAAAGATACAGTTTTATCTAGTTTTTCATATTTTTTCTCAGAAACTGGAATTTTCTATCTCAGACTTGCAATATTTTACCAGAAAAATTTTCCCTTTATGGAAGTATAACAATTAATGATACTTATTATTAAGCCAATGACAAGATTTCATGTAGAATATTTAAATGAAAGGGCCCCAACTTTGTCACTTGCTTATGTAACTTTGATTTTAATTGAAAAAAATAACTCAAGATAGGCTGATGTGATATGCATTATAAAGCTTCATTTGTAACAGTTCTGCATTTTGCTTCTGTATAGGTCAAACCTGTGATATTCTGAATATCACAGAAAATAGTATATATTGCAAGACACCCCCCAAACCTCCTATTCTCAAAACTGTATATCCAGGTAAGTTATCATAAGAGAGAATAACAATTTCTATGTTTGTAATAAAGGAATATTATTAATACATAGCATTAGTCAAAAATATTATTTGAATTTTTTTAGAATTTGTGCTGAGAATTATAATAAATGTTTTTAAATTATATTTTCTGTATTAGAAAACATTTGTATTAAAATAGCTGCATTAAAGCTGCATTTGTGGAGATAAACTCAGCCTGGTCTCCTGACACCCTACTAGAAGCAGCATTTCTCTATTGATAGAGTATAATGGTACCTTTATTTCATAGACTTTATGAAAATATTTAAAATGCCTTTTCCTGGTTGAAAAAAAAGGGCGGGATTAAATACTTTTTTAGAATGGTTTGAGAATGAAAACAGATGAAAGAAATGTCATTAGAAGTTCTTTTCAGATTTTCCCCTTGCAGTACATGGCCTTTCCAGCTACACAATTCCAGTGGAGTGCTTGACAGTGTTTGAGTGGGGCATGTATCTCCCTCTTATCCTGTGCACACATTGAAATCTATTTACAGTTGTGTCATTGTTGGTATTTGGAGCCTAATAAATTCTGTTTGCCAAACTCTTAAACTTCTTTGTTTCAAATATTTGAAAAAAGTCTCACAAGTTTAAGAAGATAATTTTGATATTTGTAATTGGTAACTTTAGAGAAAGTTGTACGTATCAGGAAATGCTGGTGCTATAGGAGGCTGATGTGTTCAATCTTTTCTTCATTTGTAACATATACAAATGCAGCTGAACAGGAGTAGTCATTATTTTCCAGATTCAGGCAGGCTTAAGGCTGCTGAAAGAAGGCATGAGCACAACAGTTGTTGCATTTTAAGGAAAAAAGAAAAAGATGTGATAGCAAATTTCTGATTAAGAGAAACTCCATGACAGTGTTTGTACTGACAAGTGTAGTTACGTTTTATTGAGAGTATTCTCTGATTCTATCCAAGACAGGATAAAATCTTAGCACAAAAGCAATGCTTAAAAAAGAAGAAGAAAAAAAACCCAGAAAAACAAATGCTAAGCGATATCTTAAAGCTAACAATCTTTTTTCCTTGATTAATGGCTTTGCAAGCCATTTAGAATAAACAAGGCAAATATTTTGTAATCAAATGGTTTGGATTATGAAGTTTTGAGACTTCACTATATGAAACAACATTAGTTATAGCATAAGTAACTAATTATTATGTATCATTATCTTTATGTAAAGTTCTATTTAGTGCCAAATATTTTACATATATAGTATATAAAATCCCCAATGGAAACCATTCAAATAATATTATTATTCACTTCTAACATGTGTGGTAATGGAGGCTCAGATAAATATGGTAATAATAAATAAATTGTAGATTGCCCTAATTGCACTCTGTCTTCTGGGAACAAGTACATGTAGGGGTACATATAATTGATTTAGTTTCACACATGATCTAAAAATGTTAATTGACATAGGACATCTATAATCACCACTCAAATATAAGGCCATTGAGACATTGCATCATGACTCTGATGAATGGCTTCTTTTGTTTCATTATATTTAGGTGGGAGAGGTCTAAAACTTGAGGTATGGAATAACAGCCGGCCACTACATCTTGAGGAGATACTTGGATATAATGAAAAAACGCCAGGGTATATGGGAGCCAGTTGGGTAGACTCAGCTTCCTATGCCTGGCCCATGGGACAAGATACATTTGTTGCACGCTTCAGTGGATTTTTGGTGGCTCCAGATTCTGATGTTTATAGATTCTACATCAAAGGTGATGACCGTTATGCCATTTATTTCAGCCAGACTGGACTTCCAGAAGATAAGGTAGGGACACTGCAAAACACTACTTGATATTATAAAAATAGCGTGATGATCTTCCTATGTATCTCACTTATTCTAAGTAAAAAAATCAATGAATATATTAAAGAATTTATGAGAAATGATTTCATGTGATCAATTTCTTTGCTATTTTAGCACATGATACAAACTTGTGGGAAACCCATAGCTTAAAAGAAAATTATTTCTCATGTGTAACTTTTCTCTGCAAAGGAAAAAATGCATACATTTACTTTATGCATTTGAAGGATTTCTTTTATTATGAAAGAATTGTAGCCACAATATAGGATATTGAAAAACAATGAAAAAGTTTCACTACTCTACATTTACTTGGTTATGAGATAGAAGTCTGTCATTTCTTTTTAACCTCTATTTTCTTTTTTATATAAAGGATCATAAAAGATCAGTGTCATCTTTTGTCACATAGTATTAAATACAAAATTTGATCATCATTTTTTAATGATGAATAGTATGTTATTACATGGGCTTATTAAGTTAGTCAAATACCCTCCTACTAATAAGTTAAAAACTTCCTTCTGATTTTTTATGACCATAACTAAAACTTTATTAGACATCTACAGTCATTAGTTTATTTTGTATTTTGTCATAGTACCGCAGGACAAGAGGGTTTCAAAGGATAATTTCACAAGTGTGAAACTGACCAATCAAATCAAAATCATATTTTATGATGAATTTATATGGCAAGATTTCTTCACAAATGGGTTTATATAACTTTAAATTGCTTTTGTAATTTATGAATTCCAGTTTACCATAGCTTCTTGGCATGCTTACTCCAAAGATGACATTAATGGGAAGCCCAAAGTCCTCTCTCTGTACTGCGTAGAACCATTTACCAATCTTTGGTATCTTTCAGGGCTACCTCTGAATTTGTAATTTGTATCAAATCTTTGAAAGTTCTCCACAGAGCAAAAGAATGATTAATAATAACACATTCTACCAGTATGTTTCCTCTTATTGTCCATTGCCGTGCTAATTATGGAAAGCCATGATCTGTGCAGTATACTCAGTAGAGTGGAGTTGGTGTGAGTGAAGGGTAAAGTGATGAAGTGAGTGAGCTTGCATAATTTTTTAAAACTCTATGTTGTCAAGGATAACAGATCTTAGAAGAATAGCATCAGGATTACAGTACTGATAAAGATAATTAGATGTTTAAAATATTAAAAATTCTCCTTTTATTCTCTGCTTTTCTGGGATAAGGTGAGGATTGCTTATCATTCTGCCAATGCCAACAGTTATTTTTCCAGTCCAACGCAAAGATCAGATGATATTCATCTTCAGAAAGGAAAAGAGTAAGGTGTTTTTCTTGCCATAAAGTGATTGTGTGATATTTTAAAAATGTAAGCTTATATTTTAAAATCTTTTGTTTTCATTGGTGGGCATTACAGTTAATTGCTTGAATTTACAATTGGTCATTCTTTATAATTTTATTAAAGTTTGCTTTTATATCTTCAGGAATACTGACATTTAGTTAACCAGGTAAATTTGAAATTTAATTTAACCTTGTTGCAGAAACTATAATTTTGTGAAATTTACTTAATCCTGATTTTCATTCTTTTCAGGACTTTTCATTCACTCCAATTCTTTAGTTTCTTTGTTCCAATGTCTGAGCACTTGAATGTTGCTAGGGAAAAAACAATCACAAAATCCCATGAACTGGTAACACTTCTAATATATATTTATTATTTGCTGATTTATCCCAGGCCATGGAACAGGCACTTGAAATCAAATACAAACAATATTAAAATAAAATCCCTTCTCATAAGGAACATAAAATCTAGTATTGAAAGGTCAACTCCAGAAAGTAAATGAAAGTATTATTCAAATAGCAGATAATAACATTCAAAATGCCATTCAGGATTCCTAGAAAACAGGAAGATAAGAGACATGATATATTCAAAATGAGTATGTTCCATAGAGAACGTCAAAAGATGTGTTAATATCATTTTTTATTTACTATTTGTATCTGTTAGGTTTTAAAATTTTTAAAATTTGTTCCTTTTAGATATACATGCAGTAGAGTATATTTTGACATATTATACCTACATGGAATATAACTTATTTTAATTAAAATCTCATTCTTCTGGGTTGTACATTATGTGGAGTTTCACTGTTGGTGTATTCATGTATGAACATAGGAATGTTATATAACATTTATTTATTCCACTCTCTTTCCTATTCCTTATTCCCTGCCCTTCCCTTCATTCCCCTTTGTCTAATCGGCTGAACTTCTACTCTTATCTTACCCCCATTGCTGTGTGTTAGAATCTACATATCAGAGAGAACACTTGACCTTTGGTTTGGGGGATTGGTTTATTTCACTTAGCATGATAGTCTCCAGATCCATCGTTTACCAGCAAAAATCATGAGGTCATTTTTTTAAGGGCTATAATTTCTGTTGTGCATATATACCACATTTTCTTTATCCATTCATCTGTTGATGGGCACCAAGGTTGGTTCCATAGCTTAGCTATTGTGAGTTGAGCTGCTATAAACATTGATGTGGCTGTGTCACTGTAGTATGCTTATTTTAACTCCTTTGAATATATACCAAGGAATGGTGTAAACAGGTCAAATAATGCTTCCATTCTTAATTTTTGAGGAATCTCGATACTATTTTTTCCAGAGTGTTTGCATCAATTTGCAATCCTACCAGCAACATATGAGTATACCCTTTCCCCACATCCTCGCCAACATTATTTGTTGCTTACATTCTTGATTGTTGCCCTTCTGACTGGAATGAGATAAAATCTCAATATAGTTTTAATTTTCATTTCTGTAATCGTTAGAGATGTTGAACAATTTTTCATGTTTGTTGACTGTATTTATTCTTCTGTGAAGTGCCTTTTCAATTCCTTTGCCCATTTATTGAGTAATTTGGGTTTTGGGGGTTAAACTTTTTGAGTTCTTTATATATCCTGGAGATTAATCCTCTGTCAGAGGTGCAAGTGACAAAGATTTTCTTTTGTTCTGTGGGTTCTCTCTTCATGCTTTGGATTGTTTCGTTTGCTGTGAAAAAGCTTTTTAGTTTGATAATGTTCCATTTATTGATTCTTGATTTTACTTCTTGAGCTTTAGAATTTTGTTGAGGAAGTCAGTTCCTAGGCCAACAAGATGAAGAGTTGGGCCTTCTAGTAGGTGTACAGTTTCTGGTCTAATGCTTATGTCCTTGACCCACTTTCAGTTGAGTTTTGTGAAGGGTGAGAGATAGGGATTAAGTTTTATTCTACAACATATTTCCAGTTTTCCCACAATCATTTTTTTCAAGAGGCTATATTTTCTCCAATGTATGTTTTTGGTGCTTTTGTCTAGTATGAGATAACTGTATTTATGTGGGTTTGTCTCTGTGTCTTCTATTCTTTTTCATTGGCCATCTTGCCTGCTTTGGTGCCAATACAAGTGAGTATTTGTTACTATAACTCCGTAGTATAATTTAATGTCTGGTATTGTGATGCCTCCTGCCTCACTTTTCTTGCTAAGGATTGCTTTGGTTATTCTGAGCCTCCTGTTTTTCCAAATAAATTTTATGACTGCTTTTTCTGTTTCTATGAAGAACAATATTGGAATTTAATGGGAATTGCATTAAATCTCAATAGCACTTTGGGTAGTATGGCCATTTTGACAATATTAATTCTGCCTATCCAAGAGCATGGGAGGTCTTTCTATCTCCTAAGGTCTTCTTCAGTATCTTTCTTTAGTGTTCTGTAGTTTTCACTGTGGGTCTTTCACCTCTTCTGTTAGATTGATTCCCAAGTATTTTGTTTTTGAGGCTACTGTGAATGGGAGAATTTTCCTAATTTCTCTTTCAGCTGATTCATCATTGGTGTATAGGAATGCAATTGCTTTATGGGTATCAATTTTATATCCTGATACTTTTCTGAGTTTGTTTATGAATTCTACAAGTTTTCTGGTGAAGTGTTTTGGGTCTTCGAAAGATAGGATCATGATCTTGGCAAATAGGGATAATTTGAGCTCTTCTTTTCCTATTTGTATCCTTAATTTTTTTCTATTGTTTACTTGCTCAGGCTAGAGTTTCAAGGACTATGTTGAATAGAAGTGATAAAATAGGGCATTTCTGTCTTATTCCAGTTTTTAGAGGAAATGGTTTTTTTCTCTGTGTAGAATGATGTTGGCCTTGGTTTTAACATATGTATCTGTTAGGTTTTACTGCATAGCAAACCACTCTAGCCTAAAGGCTTCAAATAATAAATGTTTATTATTTCACAAAATTTTGTCATTGGCTAGACAGTTCATTTGTTCCTGGCCTCTTTAGTTTTGGATTGATGATCTAGGATGACCTAAATTCCATTTGTACATCTCAGATGGCATGACTGGCACTGAGATATAGATATGGGGAGCATCTCATCCTACATGATTTCTTATATTCCAGGAGCTTAACCCAAGCTTGTGGTGTTGGTGGATAGGTTCCCAAGAATAATGATAGCAATTACTGTCAAACACACACTTTTAAATATTTGTTTTTGTCACATTTGCTTCTATCTCATTGACCATAGCAAATGGTCAAGCATAGATTCAAGGGATGAAGAAATAGACTTTCATTTTCCCAGAGACTGTCCAAAGTCAGTTCATGTTTCCAGTTCATTCTACAGATATCAGAATATCAGGTATCATTTCATCTAAGTGCAGATCTTTTTGGTCAATTTTTAAAGCATTTTAGTTAGTGCATTATAGTGATACATAGTATTAAGGTTAATTTTTATATAATTATACATTCATGGAATTTAATTTGCTTTACTTTCAGTCACCAGTACTTCCTCTTTTCTACCTCTCTTTTTTTTCCCCTATTCACTTTCCCCTATTCTACTGGTCTTCCTTCTATTTATTTATACTTTTTATAAATTGTTGCTTTACAGATATACATAAAGGTGGAATTCACTAGGGTATATTCATATACTACATGTCATAATTTTGTCAATTTAATTCCACAATTCTTCCCTTTTAGTGTCCTCCTTCCTCCCTATCTTTTCCTCTACTCTAGTGATCTCCTATTTTCATGTATTTCTCCCCTACACTTTTCCCCTTTTATTTGACTCTAGCTTCTGTATATGAAATAAAACATCCAATCTTTGACTTTCTGAGTATGGATTATTTCACTTTGAATGTTCTCCAGTTCCACTGACTTTCAAAAAAATGCCATCATTTAATTTCTCTTTATGGCTGAGTAAAACTCCATTGTGTATATATACCACATATTCTTTATTTGTTAATCTGTTGATGGGTACCTTGCCTGGTTCCATAACTTTGCTATTGTGAATTGTGTTGCTATAAACATTCATGAGTGTTTATCACTATAGTATATAGATTTTCAGGTTTTTAAAAATTTTAGTTCTTTTAAAATTTTAGTTTAGGATAAAACCAAAGAGTGGGATAATTGGTTCATAGGGTGGTTCCATTCCTAGTCTTTTGAGAAATCTCCATATTGCTTTTCACAGTGGTTATACTAGTTTGCAATTCCACCAACAATGTATGAGTATATATTTTTTCCCATATCCTTGCCAGCATTTATTATTAGTTGTATTCTTGATGATTGCCATTATAACTGGACTGAGGTAAAAATTTCTATGTAGTTTTGATTTGCATTTCCCTAGTTGCTTGTGGTACTGAACATTTTATATATTTATCATCCATTCATATTTCTTCTTTTGAGAGGCGTCTATTCAGTTCTTTACTGTACTTTGAATACCATCTCAGTTATTAATTAAAAATTAAATCCATAAGATTCTCTTAGTATCTGTTATTCATTTGAAGAAAGAGAATACTGTTATAAGACTTTTGTGAAGATTAAATAATAATATATGCAAAATGCTTAGTTTACTGTCTTACACATAGAAAGTGCCCAATTAATATTTTTAAGCTCAAATTAAGAATGCAGAATTTAATGCTTTCTTTCAGTCCTGCTCCTTAATTAGTCTTGGCTACTTGGATTTTGAAGAGCTGGTGAACAGGTTCCTAAGGCAGCCAAGATCCTGATGTAATCCTCCAGTACCCGTTCTGTCAGGGGGAGTATCTAGGGCTCCATCATCCTAGATGAAAGATAAATGTCCCTCATTCAGCCTCCCACATACTGTGGATATTTATTCTTCATATACAACAAGAATATCTGTTGGGTGATGTGATATCATAATAGTGGCATTTCTAGAGATTTAGATGAGGACACAGCAGTTTTGCATTCATCTCTAACAGCTAGTCAGTTAATGCCTTATTCTGGATAGAATTAGACAATGGGCAAGAGTTCTTTGGAGTCAAGAATTCCAAACATAAGGTATGAATCCCACCTGTCTTGTTAGAGGGTTGTAGTCAGTCTAACCAGTAGAAATTTCCTGAGGCACTATTTTATTCCCCAAGATATAAATGGAGCTAACTTTCAGAAATGTGAGAGTGGGATTGGGACAAATACCTGAGATGATAAACTTATAAGGAGGAAAAGTTTTTTTGGTTTATAGTTTCAGAAGATGCTAGTCCCTGTTTGGGAATGTGGTACATTATGGCAGGGAGTGAATGGAGGAAAAAAGCTGTTCACCTCATGGCCACAGGGAAGGATATATATATATATATATATATATATATATATATATATATAGAGAGAGAGAGAGAGAGAGAGAGAGAGAGAGAGAGGTGGATATGGGCGATGGGGGAGGAAAAGGAAAGGAGCCAGAGTCACAGTATATACTTCATGGAAATACCACTAGGTCTCACATCCTTTAGGTCCTACCATCTCCAATGGTGTCACAAGCTGGTGACCAAGTCTTTAACACATGGACCTTTAGGGAATATTTGAATTTGAATGGTATTTGCAAAGGCTTTCATCCTTGACACATACAACCACTTAGTTGCAAAATATATAATATGTCTAAGCCTGCTTGTCATTTTCTTGACTATATAAAAATATTTAACTTCTGTATGTCCTCTGTATTGTATTCCTAATAATTATTATCATAATCTACATTGATATTTTGTTTTAAGGTCCTTAAGGATAGGAGTTAGTATCTTCTTCAATCAATAGTCAACTGACTAAGCTAAAAGAATTGGTCAGAAATGGAAACAATTCAGATATTTTATATTCATTATATTTTAAACAAACTGCTATGAAACTTTAAATATTTTAATATATTATTCTATAAGTGTGGATTTTATACGATATAAATCATTTAATAGATTTTGTGGATGTTGATGTTTTATTCATTGAAAAAAATTTCATGCCTAGTATTCTGGGGAAAAATATAATATTCATTAGTTATTTTATTTTCCAGATATTATATTGAAATCTTGCTGCAGGAGTATAGATTGAGTGCTTTTGTTGATGTTGGACTATACCAGTTTAGAAATGTCTATACTGAACAACAAACAAGAGATGCAATAAATGAAGAACAAGTTATCAAATCCCAGTCAACAATTATCCAGGAAGTACAGGTTTGCTGTGATGATAAATCCACTTTATCAAAAATAATTCTCAGTGGGGCTGGGGTTATGGCTCAGTGGTAGAACACTTGCCTCACACATGTGAGGTACTGGGTTCAATCCTTAGCACCACATAAAAATAAACAAACAAAATTTATTGTGTCCATGTATAACGAAAAAAATAAATAATAAATAAATAAATAAATAAAATTCTTAGGGCTGGGGGTGATAGAGTGTTTGCCTAGTACATGAGGCCCTGGATTGAATTACTGATACCACAAAATATATGAAAATATCCAAAGCCAAAGACTCCATTTGCTTATTAATTTCAAGAGATAAGATGCTTTTTAGGGGAATGCAATTATCAACAATTACTGAGCTGTGGCTTGGAATATCTTTATTATAAAACCCGCTTTTAAATAGTCTATAATATCATTTACTCATTTGCAGTAAAATGGAGTAATAAAGAGTCATTAAATAGCTGAATTATGATACTTTCAGAGTGTATTTTGCCATATATTAAAGATTTGTTTTTTTCAAATTGGAAAATAGGTTATAACTTTGGAAAACTGGGAAACAACTAATGCAACTAATGAAGTCCAGAAGATCACAGTAACCAGTCCCTGTGTGGGAGCTAATTCATGTTCATTTCACCAATACAGATTGATCTATAACATGGAAAAGACTAGTAAGTTATAAATAATTAGGGTGATGTTGTTTCTTTTTACATATAGATGTAGCTACAAAGGATTTACTCTAAGTCTTGTGGTACTGTTTGGTAATTATCATTTTAATAATATGCTAGACAAAGGAGAAAAATAAATCATGAAGAAAAGCCTTCAGATTGGGATAGAAAATGACATAAATATACACAACTTTATGGCATATACCATCATTTTTATAAGGATAATTATAAATACATATATCTAAATCCATGTAAGGATTTTATGTATCTGTGGCTCACAGGTATAAATTCAGAAAATAAAAATTAAATTTATCCTTACAATGATATAAACATATCTTTCAATTTCCCAAATTAAGAGATAGACCTATGATACACTAATTTGTTGGTTAATAATAGAAGATTTCTATATTTGCTAATAAATTCTAAAAAAAATTCTTTTGCTATTTCTGTTAATTATTTCAACTGATAAATATTAATGAGTACTCACTGTTTGCAAAATATATACTTCTTATTATGGGAATATTAAATAGTAAAATATGATCCTTGGTCTCAAAAATATCACAAACCAATTAAAAAACCAAACTATTGAACAAATCAATTTCAGAGCTTAATTTCTCTAAGTGATAACTCACATGTTACAGAGTATGGCTGCTTTAAAAAAAGTACAAAACATACTTTGTCTGTTGTAAGCCAGAAATATTTCAACTCATCTGCCTTTTTTTTTTCTTTTTTAATTCATCCAAAAGTCTTGTTACCTGCTGATGCTTCTGGCTCCCTAATGCAATCAGCTTTGAATGACCTCTGGTCTGTAAAACCAGACACAGTTCAAGTAATAAGAAAAAGGAATCTCCAGAGCTTTATCTACACAATAACCTTTGTATCAACTAGAGGTAAGCTTGTATTTCATTTTGTGCTTCTCCAGGAAATAAACGATACCCTGGGCAACTCTACTATGAAAGGTTTAAAAAAAAAGTTCCATAAAATGATAGAGGAAAATAGATTCATAGCCTTGATCAATGGTAGGAGAAATGGAAATTAAATGGTACATTTTTTTTCTATATTAATTTAAATTTTAGTTTTATTTCAAGAAATATACAGCTCCAATGCAGGAGAAATACACTGTGTGCACTGAAAATATATTCATTGCTATAGTATTATACTTTTTACAATAAGTGAAAATATTAATTTTGAAAATAAAATTTAAGTAAATCCATATTATTCAGGAAACATTAGTCTGACCAAATCTTGCCTGAAGAAAGGATTATGTGGTCTAATTCACAAGGGAAACATTTCATATCAGACTCCTTGAAGATTGACAGAACTCATTAGAATATTAACATCCTTAAGGAGTCCTGCTGTTAAAAAAAAATCAATTCACCTGGGTTTAATGCAAAAATTATTTGATCTCTCAACCTTTTAAAAATATTTTCAAGTAATAGCTTTTAACCTCATATTAATGTTTCATACATGACATTTTTGGCAATATTGAGGTAGATATTCTGTCTTCAGTTAAAGTTAGTAAGCAATTTGGCTATTTGGTATATCTAAGCTTATAAAGTAGGTCCCTGGGGTGTGTGTGTGTGTGTTTATTTTCCAATTCATGAAAGTAGAATGTTACCTCAATGTTTATGTCTTATTTTATGAAAATGTTAATTTGATTGTTGAATGGGAGGTAAAGAATTTTGTTTAATATGAATTGAAGCTCCAAAAATTTCAAAAATTTGTTGTTCAAAATACTAAAAAATGAGGATATAGCTACTCTTATTGATCTGTTTATAGATCAGAAACAAATTTTGAGGCTTCAGCAGTGACCTTAAAAAATATGGTACTAAAACCATGGCTGAATATATTGTCAGCCTTTACCCAATAAAGAAGATCAATGGGATTCAACTAGTATAGTATCCTTCCAAAGAGGAGAAACCTCTAAGGACAAGGTCGTGTTTCTCTCAAAGTGACATTGTCTGAACAAGCCTCATAGGTCTGGGCTGGTTTTTGGAAATCGGCTTTTTGCCCTATTCATACATAAAGAAAATAGCCCAGTCAAGCCCTCTACATTGAAATAATGATATTGGCACAGAACTAAAATATATTTTTTGGAATATCCTCCTGCCCATTGATCTATACTGCATATCCCCAGTTGTATCCCTCTGTTTATCTTACAATATTTCTTCTTAAGTCATAAAGAACTTTGGTAGATAGCACTTCACTGTTTTGCTATTTCTGCTATGAATAAATCTACTCAAATGTGGGAATCTGCTTTTCTTTTCCCCTGGTCATCCTTATTTTGAATTAATGGGACTCCAAACAATTTGGCATTATTTGAATGTCTGTTATAAATATTTGGTATGTTACTAATTAACTCTTAAAATTGTTTGGTACTTCATTTCAGGAGACTTTGATCTGCTTGGTTATGAAGTACTTGAAGGGAATAATGTCACACTGGATATTACAGAACAAACCAAAGGGAAACCCAGTTTGGAGACATTCACACTGAACTGGGATGGGATTGCCTCAGTGCCTCTTACTCCAGCGTCATCAGAAGTTGAAGTATGCTCCAGGAATATTCCTACCATGCATTTTCCCAGCACCATTTGGTGGTGTTCACCGAACCTTTATAGACAAATGAGAAAGAGACATTACTTCCAAAATTCACATAAATCATTTAGAATTTGATCAGCTTACTAAGATTTATATATCATGAACATTTTTGTCTAAGGGGACACAGAGACAATTGAGCACAAAGCCTGCACCCTTTTTCTGGACAAAGTATCTCAAAGTTATTAGAATCTTGTTTTGCTTTTGAGTGCAGGCTCTCTGTCCCTCTATCCATGCCAGCATTCATTTTCATCCAAAATCCAACTGGTCATCACGTAAAAGTCAGAAAATCCTTGAGAGATGTAGTATAGTAAAAATGCTTAACAATGAAGTTTAAATCTCTTGTTATTTTATTACATAGAAAATTAACTGTCAATCTTCTATGAAGAAATGTTTAAGGAGTAGTAATATATTCTCCTACTTGGTGTGAGGGGAGAATGGAGGAGACATGACAAAGATACAGGGAAGGAAAGGGGAGTTCTTGGGTCTGTGTCAACAGGACTTAATATGCCTACATGTAGGGCAGCTCTCCTTAGAGAAAGAATGCTGTGGTTACTGAATTTTGACAACTACCTTCCTGTATTTAAATCATAATTTGATGATTAGACATTATACATTATCTCAAGCCCCTAATCCTTTGTTGTTATTGTTGTTGTTTTATTTGTGTGTGTGTCTCTGTGTGTGTGTGTGTGTGTGTGTGTGTGTGTGTTTGGGAGTGCTGGACATCAAACCCAAAGCCCCCTCAGTTAGGCAAGCACTCTACCACTGAACCACGTCTCCAGCCTCGAGTCCTTAATTCTCTCTCAATATTTTTTTGGAATTAGGAATTGAACCCACAGGTGCTTAACCACTGAGCAACACCTTCAATCCATTTTTATTTTTTATTTTGAGATCGGTTTTGCAGAGTTGCTTAGGACCTCACTAAGTTGCTGAAGCTGGTATCGAATTTGCAGTCCTCTTGTCTCAGCTTCCCAAGCTGCTGGGATCACAAGCGAGTGCTACCCTGCCTGGCTTGGGCCCTCATTTCTAAACAATAATTATTTTTGTGCTTTGCCAGATCAATAGATGTAGAGATGATAAGGGACTCATGAATGTACCAATTCCTTTATATTCCAGTATTATTTATTATTTTTAGATAATCTGAAATACAGACTTATAGTACATGCATCTCCTCTTTTGAAAAATGGGTTGCATTAGAGTATATAGTTTTTGTTTTTTGGGGGTTTTTTTGTTAATTTTGAGATATTTGAGGAAGTCTTTTATTCAGAATATGTTTAATTATTGATTTAAGTTTTCTTTCTCATTCTCTTTAAAACATTTAACTTATAACCATGCTAATAGTAACCAGTTGGATATAACTATTTTATTCTAAAATAAAACTTTGAAAATTATTGGACACTAAAATACACATTAACTTAAAATTATTTTGATAATTATCTCATAATTATGGCTAGGATGGGAATTATAAAAAAATTGTTAGAACTAATTAGTAGAATTACTAATGTTCTAAGACTTCATGAAAAAGAAGTTATTATAGCTCATATTGTTAATTTAGTTTCAGGCAGCAGTGGAAGAAATGGTTAGCACTAAATGTCCACCACAAATTGCACATTTTGAAGAAGGATTTGTTGTGAAATACTTCAGAGACTATGAAACTTATTTTGACCTGGTATGGAATATTTCACTAACCTTGAAATTGATCAAATAAGTATTCATATAAATATTGGGGCTTTGTTATTTCCTTTTTGAACTAGCATTGATTCTGTTATTATTCTAAGTCAAATTGTAAAAACAATTTTGTTACAGATTTATTGGTAAGGCCTGTCCTAGCATCTTCTCACATAATAAAATAATTCATTTGTGAAAGCTTCATTTACATCCCACAAATTTGCTAATTTTGCTCACTTTCTGTTGGTTAAATTTACTTAAACAACAGAAAGTGAGGTAGATATACACTTGTTCCAAATGAATATTTTAAGAATAAAAAGGAAATAGTCAAATTATTTAATTTATAACACTCAAGAAGTAACTGTGAATTCTTAAAAATATATATCATATTATACTTTGCAAAAGCAGATATTTTAGTGAGGAAAAAATAGGAAAACCTTTCTATTTAATGGGCAACCTGCTCACCTTAATAAACACATGTAAGTCTGAATTTGTTACTAGAGGCCCTGAGGGCTGCACAAATAATTAGCATTCACTCCTTTCCTACTGCGTCTCCCATCACCATCCCCGCACTCCTTTCTTTACTCAACCCAGGGTTACCTATCTACATTTGCCAATACCAGGCTCTTACCTATCTACTCTGCATGGCTCCTGTATATAGGAATATTGTTGTTCATCATTTAAATTTTGAAGATTAAACAAAAAGCAAACAAAAACCTGCCATATAGTAAACACTGAACACACATCATAGAAGGAATGAATAAATATCTTTGACTGGTTCATAATATAAGAAAGGACTTGAGAAATAATTAAATACAAATACAAGGTTATGGGTCAGAGGGGAACTTTAGAACTTCCAGGAAAGGACAGAATATTTCAAGTTAGAGTCATTTGAGAAACAGTATTGAACTTTGAACAATTGTTTGGGTATGGTGAGAGAAAATCAAGAAACAAATCATGTTTTCATTTGAAATGTTGTTTTTATAGGAACATATTAATAGAGGGCAGAAGACAGCTGAAACTGATGCTTACTGTGGTCGTTATTCCCTGAAAAATCCAGCTGTTCTTTTTGACTCGACAGATGTTAAGCCAAACAGATCACCATATGGAAACATTTTATTATTTCCTTATAATCAGGTATGCTCAACAAAATGATATGCTAATTGAATCTGAAAAACACCTTGGTAATAAAATTTCATGAAATTTTAAGACAAGGAAAAGTGCTTGTCATATGAAATCATGTCATGTTGAACAGGCACTGTGGCTCACCTTCTGGGTGGGTGCTTTAGTGATTCCTCTTCTGACAATTCTAAAAAGAAAAAAAAATTGTGTGTGTGTGTGTGTGTGTGTGTGTGTGTGTGTGACTATATATCATGTATTCTTCTTTATCTCATAATTTTAGAAGACATGATTTGCACATAGTTTGAACACTAAAATAATTAAAATGTATAACATCCTCCATTTTTCTTCATTTATTAGGAAGAAACAAAATGGATAGCCATTATAAGCTGATCTTGAGTGTTTAGTTGGGGAAACATGAAAGAAAATCATGAATTGAAGAGATGGCCATTTTAGGATAAATATTTTAAAACCAATAAACATAACTTTTTGCTTTTTCTTGTTTTTAAAATTCTGAAATATGTTCGGGTGCTTAAGGAGTTTGGGACCATTAAAACAAGTTTTTAATTACTATTTTACTTTCATCTCTATCTCTTAATACTAAAATACATTCATATCCTGATTAATCTGTCTGAATATTTACCTCTCTTCTCTCTTCATCTGCAATGACTTTTAAGTTTAGTGAACAATTTAGTTAGTAGACAGCTCACCTCCACAGGGAATTAATTGTTCTCATTTTTAAAGGAAATCATATCTAAGAAAACAATAAAGAATTAATCATTAGTTGTTAGGTCACTTTGACTCCATCTCCTTGTTTATAAAATCTTCCTCAATTATTCTCCTACAACTACTAGCTGAAATTAATCTTTCTTTTCTCTCTATAGTATATATGGAAAAGGTTCAACAAATATTTATTTAGTTGGATTGGGTTAATTTGAATTGTTACAAAACAATTTAATGGGAAGATATGCTAACTTTTACCATATTTTTTATATAGTTATGTTTAGCATACAAAGGATTCCTGAAAAATTATATTGGTCTAAAATTTCAGTACCAAGACAATGGCAAGATTACTAGAAGTGCTGATATACAATTTACATATAACTTTGCTTATGGAAACAAGTAAGTTGCACTATGAATTTGGAAAAAAGGTTATTACTATACTATATGTTTATATGTTTTTACAAAGATAAATTCCTTTCTTGTTTTGTTTTATTTGGAGGGAGGGGAAATCTTGAGCACATGGATCTAACTTAGAATATTTATAGTCTGTACAAGTGCTTCCTAACAGAAATAGATTAGAAATGTATAGATTATGAAAATTAAAAGTGGCCTAGTATCATCATCATCCTCATCACATATGACCATTTGAAAAACAAGGCATGGTAGTCATGGTAACACATGCCTGTTATCCCAGTAACTCTGGAGATGCAGGAAGGAAGATTGCAAGTTCTAGGCCAGCTGCAGCAATTTTGCAAAACCCTATCTCAAAATTTTTAAAAGGGTTGGGGATTTAGTGCAGTGGTAATATTTTATTATTATCCCCAGTAATAAAAAATACAAAATGATAGTAAACTTTAAAATTTAAATCATATATTAAATCCAGTATGTTCTCAGCTAATGGAAAACAGTAGAAAGAGATTAGCTTAGCTTATCAGAATTTTGTTACTGGACTTCAGTCACGGGGGTGGGGGGGGAGTGCTTGCTATGTGATAGTAGAGAAAATAGAATGTTTTGATGAATATATAAGATAAAGGGAGAAAAGGTATTTTGAAGTAATGCTTACTTTGCCAAAAGTTAAACATGTAGAACTGCAAATAAGGAATTATAAAGGAAGTATCTGAATGAGCCTAGACAATGCTTTTAGATGACTACAATTGTCATAAACTCAAGAACAGTTAGTTCTGTATAATTATTCTTTGAGTTTTTAAAAATAGTTATAGCTTGAAATTAATGTAAATCCTAACTGTATTTCTATCTGCAATGTTTGAAAAATCCATTTATAGTAGAAATAACAATGAAAAGACACACATTCTCTATTTTAGAAAATACTTCTCATTAATGTTAAGATATGTTGATTGAAGTATAACTTACATAAAGCTGAATTCACTCTTTCAAAGTGCACAGTTCTGTGAGTTTTAAGAAATGTATGCACTCATGCAACTACCTCTGTGCTCTGTAAAATATTAGCATGCTATGATATTATATCCTGTATTAGAACTGGAAAAATAGGATAGTAGAGTGAACTATTTTAGTTAAAAATGTCAGATATAACAGTAAATTCAGTCCAGTGTTCAGAAGCAAAACTGGAACTTGACAGTAGTTTCAGAAGAGCTCACTGGAGTAGCATTGTGTGGAATTTTTTTTTTTTTTTTTTTTGCTATGCCATCACCTCCTTGTGGGTTATTATAAGATAAAAATCATAGTTTTAACTCAATGAAACATTCTTAAAGTCTATCTTTTCTCAAATATATGTACACTTCCTTAGGCTGCTTGTATCCTGCTTATTATACTCTAAGATATAAACTTCTACCCATTTGATTAATAAAATTTATGTTAAATTCAAAAAAATAAAAATTAAAAATTAAATAAAATAGTTGACTCTATTTTGTGTCTTGTTTTTTGTTAAAGTTCTCTATACCAATGTGTGCCCTTTACCTACTGTTATATAATGTTATTTTACATTTCTGTATCTACTACCAAGGCTTATAAATAAAAGAAAACCTGAAGTTGTTTGTAATATTAAAGCTTTTACTACCAATGTACGCTTCTGCTGGTATTTCTTGTTTTGTCTACTTTTTTGTGCTAATGAATATGTTTGATGAACGTCTTGGTGGAAGAGCTTTTACTCTTTGAAAAGTTTGATGACTTTTGCAATGTATTTTTTATTACTAATTTATACATTGATTTAATTATTTCAGTTGGACTTACACTTGCATAGATCTTCTGGATCTCATACAAACCAAATATGAAGGAACAGATTTTTCTCTTCAAAGGATTAGTTTGCAGAAAGCATCAGAATCACAGTTCTTCTATGTGGATGTAGTATACATTGGACAGACATCTACAATCTCAACGTTGGTTGGTATGTTCTATCATTTTATATCTACAGTTGTCTTCTAAATGTGTCATATAATAAAATTCTACTGTGGATATTACTCTTATGTTCTGTATAGACAGGAATATTAATCTTTGAATATTCATGATTCATTCTTTTACCTCCATAATATTATGATTTAGGGGCTGAGAGTGTTGTTCAGTGATGGAGTGCTTTCTTAGCATGCACAAGGCCCTGGGTTTGAATGCAAGCACCAAAAAAAAAAAAAAAAAATATATATATATATATATATATATATATACACACACACACATATATATATACATATATACATATATAATGAAATAAAATAAAATAAATAATATTATGATTTTACTTTAGTTTTAATGTAAAGGCAAGATGATTTGTCCTTTTGTAAGAATAAATTCATTCTTAATATAAACTTTCTCATTATAGCAAGATTAGTAGTACAGTCCTGAATTTTGTTTATTACTTTCTCATTAAAGCAAGAATTTGTTTTATAGTCCTGATTTTGCTTATCAAAAAATACATCACGACAAACATTTTCATTTTGTTTGTTTTATCTTTGAGAAACCAACTATCAGGAGGGATAGCCATTCCTAAAATTCACCTATTGACACTGACAATATTAGCTAAAAATGAAAAAGTTATTTTTTATAGTCTTAGCATGTGGACTTAATCATGTTATTAAACTCATGTGTATGAGATATGATAATAAAAAATAAAAATAAAACACTATAATGTATTTCCCATTTACTTTGTTTGTTTACATTCTTTAGAAATGCCAAAGAGAAGACTTCCAGCATTAGCAAATAAAGGTATATTTTTAAAGCACTTTCAGGTGAATCAGAGCAAAATTAATGGATCAACTATAACAATCCAATATTTTATTATCATGACTTCATATAATTGCAGTCATAATATACCCCTGATGGCTGTAAGCTTTGGACAGGTAAGCCTAGAATTTTATAAGTTATTGTTTTCAACTTAATGATCATTTCTTTTAATGTAATTAATTTAAAATTTTTTTGAAAATTGTTGCTATTTAGATTGAATATCTTTTGATAAGGCAATTATTTTAAGATAAATGATTTATAAACTTGTTTTACTTGAGCAAGAACATTGACTTTAAGCATGAAAAAAAATCTTCAGGAAATATTCATGGGTAAAGAAAACAGGGTAAACATCCTTACGAAACAAAATTAGTCAGATTTAAGTAGAATTTTCATATTGACTTAAAAGGAAAAGTCATGGTCTCTTCCATAATTCCAAAATAATTTGCATAGGTTTTAAACTGCTTGAATGATTTATAAGGTCAGTATTAAAAACTACAAATGTGATAAGCATTTTAAAGTTTAATTTCCTATAAAAATACATGATAAGTTAATATTATTTCCTGCAACAAATTAAAAACAAGTAAATAAGCTCAAGATTAAAGTTTAAATTATCAACTCTTGTAATTAGAGAGTCACAGAAAACTTTAACTTATCAACTTTATGATTAAAGATAATGAAAAACTATAAGTATTCCCCAAAACTGCCTTTACCCCATGCTGGCTCAATGTTTTAGTCTTCATAGCTTCCAGATAAATGTCTTGTAAATGTTTTCTAGTGTTTTACTCTTAGCTCTATTACAAAATGTGCTAACTCAGGGCTTTGTATTCTCAAACATCTATGTCAACAGTCTCCCAGTTTTCAAGATTACTCATGAAACTGATAATTGGTGATTGTTATGTGTAAGCTTTAGCTATAATTAAAGATTTAGTTGGATAATATGGGATTTAATTTTTGTGCTCTTTTTAAAAATATAGAAATGAAAGATAAATGCAATAATGTGCACACATGTTTAATGTACAGATCCATGAATTGTTTTTAAAACTTTACTTTTGAGATAATTGTAGAGTCATATTCAGTTGTAATAAATAATATAAACACATACCTATAACCTTCACCTATTACTCCCAATCATAACTTCTTGTAAAATATAATGTGACAATTAGGAAATTTACATTGATACAATCCACTAATCAACCTTATTTAGATTTTATCAGATATTCATACACTTATTTGCGTGTGTGTGTGCGTGTGTGTGTGTGTGTGTGTGTGTGTGTGCAGTTCTGTGCAATCCTATCACAAGTGTAGATGCATCTGACTACTACCAACACTTCCATTATAAGCATTCTTGTACTACCCTTTAGCCACCAGCAATGTATCAGTGATCCATTTTGTCAGCATTTGGTGTTACCACTGCATATATATTTTTTCATGTTAGCCATTTTTATAAGTTATTTTGGTTTTAAGTTGTCTTCCCCAATGGCTAATGATAAACATGTTTTATGGGCTTATCTACTGCTCATATCTTTTTTTCTGGTGTAACCAAATGACCTGACAAGAACAACTTTAGGGAAGAAAAAGTTCATTTAGGGGCTCACAGTTTCAGAGGTCTTGGTCCACAGACAGCCTGATACATTCCTTAGGTGAGGCTGAACATCATAGTGGAAGAATATGGCAGAGGGAAGCAGCTCACATGATGATCAGAAAGCAGAGAGCTCCAGGTATATACTTTGTTTATATACTTTATATAAACAAAGTATATACCCCCGCCCCCCAAAAGCATACTTCCAGTGACCCGCCTCCTCCAGCCTCATCCTACCTGCCTTCAGTTACCACTCAGTTAATCCCATCAGAGGAACAATTCACTGATTGGGTTAAGGCTCTCATAGCCCAATCATTTCACCTCTGAATATTCTTGCATTGTCTCCCACATGACCTTTTGGGGTACACCTAATATCTAAACAAAAACATCATATATCATATATAAAATGTATTCTTATATCTTTTGCCCATTTTCTAATCAGGTTGTCTATTCAATATTGTTGAGTTTTTAAAAGTCTTTTTATATTCTAGATTCAGGTTCCTTGTCAGATATGTGGTTAACAAAAATTTTGTCCCAGACCATACTTTGTCTTCTCATGTTCAAGGTCTTTCATAGTGGAAAAACTGTTAGTTTTGATAGAATCCAATTTACCATTGTGACAATTGTTTTTCTCTTATGGTTTCAAGTCTTAAACATTTTTTTTTCTAAAAGTTTTATAGATTTGCATTTTACACTTCAGGCCATGATTCATTTGAATTTTTATATAAGATATGATTTTAGGACCAGGCTTATTATTCTACCTGTGGCTCCAGTTGCTCTGGTACCATTTATTGAAAATATAAATTTTCTCCATTTAATTACCTTTGTACTTTTATGAAAAATCAATAGACCATATTTGTGTGGGTTTACTTCTGGGTTATCTATTCTATTCTATTTTCTACGTGTTTATCCTTCTTCCAGTACCACACTATCTTGATCATTCTGTTCTATTTTCTACATGTTGATCTTTCTGCCAATACCACACTGTCTTGATCACTATAGCTATATAGTAAGCCTTAACATCTAGTAGAGAGAATTCTCTCAGTTTATTCTTCTTGTGTGAAAGTACTTTAGCAATTCTAGTTCCTATGCCTTTTTGTACACATTTTGGAATAAGACTGATTATGTCTACACAAAATCTTGCTGGCATTTTGATACTCATTGCCTTAAGCCAATATATTGTTTTGATAAGAATTGCAACCTTAATTATGTTGAGTATTCCAACCCATGACTAGAGTATGTCTTTCCATTGATTTAGGTTCCAATATGTTGTACAAAAAAGAAAAATCAGCTCATTTAGGTCTTCTTTATTACTTTAACCAGAATTTTTCAATTTTCAGATCAGATCTACAACATGTTTTGTTAGATATGTATATATTTCATTTTTCTGGAAGCAATTTTAAGTGCTATTTTTTAAATTTTGTTTTTCACATGTTCATCATTTGTACTTAGAAATGTAATTGTTTTTGTGCATTGATGTTGTATCCTGAAATTTGCTGAACTCAATGAATTTTTACCAAATAAATACACTCATAACCACCATTCAGATCAAGGTAAAGGAAGTCATTAGTTTCCTGAGAGATTTCTTTTTATCTCCTCCTTGTCATTAGATTACAAATCCCTTACACCCAGATAACCATTTTTTCACTTTTACCACCATTAAATACTTTTGCCTATTTTTAAACTTTATATCAATGGACTCATAACAATGCAATCTTTTAGGGCTAGGGATATAACTCAGTTGGTAGACTGCTTGTCTCACATGCACAAGGCCCTGGGTTAATTCCCAGCAAAAAAAAAAAAAAAAAAAAAAAAGAATGTAATCTTTTGTATCTAGCTTCCTTTAGCCAATATTGAGAGATTCATTTGTTACATTTAGCTACAGTTATTTTTGTTTTTCATTATTGTACATTATTCCATGGAATAAACATACCACCATTTATCTGTTTGTGTTAATGGTCTTTTGCACTATATTCAGTTTAGGGTCATTGCGAATAAAGTTGATATAAATATTCTTTCATATGTCATCTGGCACTTATGTTTATCTACTTGTGTATCATTTTTAATTCCATAAGATTGACAGATAACTGAAGGACTGAAAGTGGAGAGAACATGATTAAGGTTATAATCTAAGAATCTCTATAAAGTGTTGCTTTATAGAGAATTGATTGGTACTCAGTATTTAAAAAGTCACCAGTAAGACTAGACCAGTCCCTCTACTATGATATTCTTCTTTATATTGTTTATCAAGTCCCCATATGCTATTTCTTCAGAATGGTTTTTAGTTTTCTGATAACCAAGATTGCATCTCCTGCTTCTTTTCTGTCCATAGTCATGAGCTTTGTACATTGAACAGAATGTATGCTCAATAAATATTTGTTCCTTGAGTGATGGAGGGTACATTCTGAATTAATGAGGTATTACTGTGGTTCCACTTGATTGCTACACAAATGACTGAGTTGACTTTGGCCTCATTATTATAGCTGTGTATGCACAGCCTGTATTGATTTATGTGACTCTCTCTAACGTTCTGAAAAATCCTGAATACTTGAAGCTCATTTATGCCATGTCACAAGATTGTACCATGGTAAAATAGAAATCATGTTAACCATTGTTTGGTTTAATCATTTTATCAATATTTGTTTTGGAAATTAGGTAATCACAAATGAGACAGAGAATGAGTCTGTTTACAGAGGAAAAAATTGGCCAGGGAAGTCAAAGATTCATATTCAAAGAATTCAAGAAGCTTCTCCACCTATAAGTGGCACCTTTGACATTTATGCTTACGGACATGTTCTCAAAGGTATATGAGGAATGTTCAGAACATTGATATATACACATACAAATATATAGTCTACAAAATGTTAAATGTTATTTCATTTGAGAATTGCTACTTATTGCTATTTTTACATTGAAGTAGTGTGTGTGTGTGTGTTTATGTATGACATACTATATTTGGCCAATCATTAACCAATCATAACCAAACATAATAATTTTTGTTTAAAATTCTTCTGTTACTAGATTAGAAAAGAGTTCACCCACCCAAAGCCACTGTTATTTGTAATGATTCTTCTTTCTTTTTTTTTTTTTTTTGGTAGTGGGTATTGAACCCAGGGGCATTTAACCACTGAACCACATCCCCTTATTTATGTTTTATTTAGACACAGGGTCTTGATAAATTGCTTAGTGCTGTGCTGTTTCTGAGGCTGGCTTTGAACTTGTATTCCTTCTGCCTCAGCCTCCCAAGCCGCTGGGATTACAGGAGTGTACCACCATGCCTGGCTGTAATGATTATTCTTATTTAACATTAATATAAGAAAAAAGTCTGCAAAAATATAATATACTCTTAACAGTCATTTTTTGAAAGTAGATAACTTTCGTAAATCATACCTTTATATAACACATACATTTTAAAAAGTATTCATGATTAGGGTAGCCAGAAATAATAATAATATTAACATATTCTAAAATTGGGACTAGAATATTATTTTTAAAGATGACTTTAATTGAATAATCAAGACCTGTTCTGTCTAACATAACCATGAGCCATATGTTGCTACTGAGCACTTACAATGATACAAGTGCCATAGAGTGAAATAAATAACATTGAAATATTGTTTCAACATTATTGAAATAACATTTTAAGTATATATTTCTTTACATAATATTTATTATCAAAATAATTATAATTGTTCTTGTTTTTTAAAAAATTACTACTCTTAGAAAAAATTTAAAATTATATTTGTGATTCATAATATTTATAAATTAGACAATGTTGATCTAGACAACAATAGTAAATGTTTTGGTGCACTACTTTCTTTTTTATTTTTTAAATTTTTTTTTAGTTGCAAATGGACACAATACCTTTATTATTTTATTATTTTTATGTGGTGCTGAGGATTGAAACCAGGGCATCACACGTGCTAAGCAAGCACTCTACTACTGAGCCACAACCCCAGCCCCTGATGCACTAATTTTTAATAGTATTTTTCTACATGATTTCCAGAACAAATGATATTTTCATATTTTCTTCATTGCCTCAGCAGATGTACCACATTCATAACTTAAAATATCTATAAAGGGAATTGATATTAAAAATAAAAGTATTTGAGATGAAGCCCTAGTTGGGAGGTACATTATTATGTAACTATTGTTTCCCATAAATATATATATTCACAGCACAAGTGAGACGTTTCACCTTCACTTTTAATGGAGGAGGGTGTGTGGCTTACAAGTAGTAGTATACAGTACACGTTACTTGTACTTTAACAATGAAATATGGTTTGTAAATTCTTGACTCCTGCTCTTTATCCCCCTCTGTGAATGCAGGCATCCCTGCTGCTGTGTCAGCTGCAGATTTGCAGTTTGCTCTCCAGAGCCTGGAAGAAGTAGGGCAAGTCTCAGTTACACAAGAGGGCACTTGTGCTGGATACTCATGGAGCATCAAGTGGAGAAGCACATGTGGAAGGCAGAATCTTCTCCAGGTTCCCTCATTTGGCTTGGCTTCTATTTTCTTCTGTGTGTTGTGGCTTATTTGCACCCTGCCTCATTTAAAAAGAATTGGAGATTTTTATTTGTGTATACTGAAAAAGTCAAACTATAGACCAAAAAAATTTTAAAGGCATTTGACCAGAAGATTGCTTTGCATTAGGTTGGCAAGGTGTACTCTTTCATGGCTCATAACTGTTGGTACTTTATTCTCCGTTCTACATGGGAAAAAGTTCAGGAATATGTGAGTTAAAGACCCTTGGTAGGGACAGAAAGAGCACCTGAAAGGCCAGTCTCAATATAAAGTCTAGGTGCATTTTAAGAGGTAGGAGTCGGAGGCAAGGAGAATCAGCTTCACTGACAATAATTCTGCCACTAGAGCTGTAATCTGGGTCCTTGGTACTTTTGTGGTTTGAAATGTGACCTTTTGTAGTTGGGGAGGAGGTCACACCTTAAATTCTCATCTAGTTATTTTAGCTTAGAGTGTTGAAAGGGCTAGAGGAGAAGATTTAGGCCTAGAGCACATGAAGGAGAGGAGTCTAGGAGTGACTAGGTCACAGAGTGTCCAGCATTAAAAAGATTATGCTTTCTAGTGATGATGAGAGTAAGAGGAAAAATAGTCTCTCCCATGCATTGTGGTGAGAATATAAATTAGTACAACTTTAGGTTTTTTTTATGACTAGCTAATACATTTTTAAATTAGTACAACTTTGAGGGAAGATAATCTAAGAGTATCTGAATATATATACTTAATTATCCAGCAATCTCATTTATATTAATTCCATCCTACTGAAATAATAATATAACTATGAAATGATACAGGCACAAAGATAGTCTGATGCATTATTATTTATAACAGTAAAAACTTATAAACAAGTGTCTTCAATGGGAGAATAGTTGTTTGAATGACATACTTCACGTGAATACTATGTGATCATATGTAGACCCACGTATATTTAGCTGGAGAGATGTTCATGACATAAGCTGGAAAAATGCAGAACTCTACTTATGAAATCATTTTTGCAGCAGGAGTGCGAGCTAGGGAGATTGGAGACAAAAAAAGTATGTAAACCAGTATATATGGATGTGTAAAATAGTAACGATCGTAAAAGATGTAGAAGTTATTTTAAGAGTACACATGGCCTGGAACTAGAATTAGAAAATTCCATAACTGCCATAGCTCTAGTGACTGGTCTCCTTCTTGTTATCTCTGCTACTGCAAGTATATCCAACTCTTTGTCTCTTTTCCAGCAAATCTTCTCTGCTTATTCATCATTTCTGTGCCTCATCACGTTGGCTCACGCATTGCCCAGGACTTTGCTAGCCCTTGTATACATCAGAAGGCTGCCATATTGGCAGAGAAACTTTAGAATGATCAAATTGTACATACTGATTTGATTTGGGTTCACTTTTACCATTGGAAGAAAACCTAAGTCCAAGAGTGGATGAAATTCCAGGGTAGTCGGAGGTGAAATATGCTAAAGGGGAAAGTTGATGCTCAGATGGAAAGAATACGCAACTTTTCACTTATTCCACAATATCAAAGTGATTATATTTAGAAAAAGTGTAGAATACTTTAAATATCCAATTTAGTATATTGATTTTCTCTAGACTTACTGAATCTAAAAATTCAAGTGAATTTTTAGTCATTGAATTCATATTTTAATTAATGCAATGTATGACAGTATAATGGTCTTAGCATTTTCTCTGTGAATAGACTATTCTCTTTTTTGAAGAGTTTCCTTTAAAAAAAAGTGACAAACGTGGTTTTGATCTTTTTTGCTTTTAGTCCTTAAATTATAAAGAAAAACTTGAGTGGTCATATTTACCATAGTCCTTCTAGTAAAATGATTTCTGTTAAAAATAGGTTAATGATTCCAATATCACTGGAGAAAAGGCTAATGTGACAGTTGCAAAGGTAAGAGAAGGTGGCTTATTCAGACGACACATCCTGGGAGACCTTCTGCGCACACCCAGTCAAAAGCCACAGGTATTTTTGAAACTTTTCTTACAACACTTGGCATAATTTTAAATGGATAACTAATTTTTAATATGTTAAAGACCTGATAAAACAGGATGGTTGACTTCTCTATCTTCATGTTAATATTTGTGTTAACAGCTGATCAAATCAGTAAATTATTTTATGACTTTTGGGGAATTATCCTCCTTGTGAATTTTTTTTAATTTACTACTGCCAGAATTAGAGAATATGTTCTTTTATTTAAATAGTTCTGTGAAGTAATTACTAATACTGCCATTTTCGTGAGGATGAAATTAAAAATGTAAAGAAGTTAGGTGACTTTCCCAAGAGCATGTTTTTCTTCCTATTACTAATTAACTCCTGGTAGCATATGTCTTCATTTTTTTTTCATTTATAGTTTTAGGCAACTCTCTATTCCAAACCTACTAGAATATAAGTTGGGTGACTTCAGTGATGTCACCTATTTTGCTTAGTATTTCCTGTATTACTAACATTTACAATGGTGCCAGATACAAAAAGGGAACATTTGCTGAATGAATGAAAGAATGAAATGTCAAAATAGAAAATGTACAGACTAATTTTTTAGACAAGCAAACAAAATTCCATTTGTTCTAAATCTTGTGCATATTCTAGTGATCCAAGCTTCTTTTTTACCCTTATTAATCAGCTCTGTTTCTATACTTGAAGGTTCAAGTCTATGTCAATGGAATTCCATCTAAATGTTCAGGTGACTGTAGGTTTACATGGGATCCCATGAGTACTCCCCTAATCTCCGCCACAAGTCCTTCTCAAGGTAACCTGATTTTTTAACAGAGTAAGAAAAAGTAAAATAACCTGCAAAATGTAGACTAATAATGATTTTTTTAAATATGCTTATACTGATGTCATCAACTAAGGCAAATAGACCATTCTGCATATATATATATATATATATATCAGATAAGAAAGCTATGTAAACAGAACTAATTATGTATTTTATTTTTTAAAAATGCTGCCCTTGAAACTGAAGCATAGCCTTTAAAGTACAGGAGACACTAATCATCTATTCTCCAGTTTGATCAATTTCTAAATTTCACTTTTGCATTGAGATATTTTTGTACAAATCATCTAGCTAGGGGGTTAATTAGAACATTTCAGTATTTGAGAACACTTCTAAGATAGTTAGTATTAAAAGGATAGTAACAAGACAGCTACCGCTTAATAGTTGAGTACTAGATTTGAGATTAAGAGAGGAAAATTTTTGCCAAGAGTTCTGTCTAGTCCAGGGCATGCATTATACCATTTCTTCATCGCATGTTTGCTTCAAAAAATATGATATACTCTACATCTGAACTCCTGAGGATTGAAATAAATAACAGGAATGAGGATTGTTAAGTGGTGATTTTTTCCATCAGAAGGATAAGTTCAGATAGTATAATTTTAGTATCAGATACTAAAATATTTAGTCTTGTTGGCTAGTTGGAAGCTTCACCTAATTGTATATGGGTGGCTCAAATCATTGATGTTTTAAAGTTAGTATCTTTAAGTTGAAAAAAATATACTGTTTAGATTTTTTATAGTAATAATATTGTCGTGGGGATAATTTGTGTTATGTAGTGTTAAAAGGCTCAAGTATCAGAACATGATGAGCAGTTGATCATAGTCCTTAAGTATCCTTATTTTTGTACCTATTCTTGCATTTTTAATGATCTACCATATTTATATGTACTTCCTGATGATTACTCCTTATTCAAAATAATTAAGAACCTAAATTGCCTTTTGGTATCTTACAGTTAATTTTAAAATAATGAAAAATATAAAGAATGCTATAAAAATCATTTTCACTGAAAACTAACAGTTGCTCACATTTTGTCTTATGTACTACCAATCATCATCTATGAAAGATGTATTATTGGAATAGCTAAAATCTACTTTGAGCATCAATCTAGTCATAGTTTCCCATTCAACTCTGCAGAGGCAATAATTAATTTTGTGTATATTCACCCAGGCCATGTTTATTTAATACCCTTTGTATATAATACACACAGAAATGGTGATTTTGCAATTTTGTGAAGTTTATGACTGAGATATTGCAATATAAATATCATTTTGCATCTTATTTTTGTAAAAATCACTCATGACTCATTGGGGATATATTTTATGTGGTTATATGTATATCTAATTTATCACTTTTAAGTACTTCATGAATATATCAATTTATTTGTTTCTCTGTTGATAGACAACTAAATTGTCTACCATATTTTGGTTTTATAAATAAAACGATATTGAGCTTCCTGTACAAACTTCGTATTGTACACATGCTAGTACTTTATAGGAATATATGACCAGACATTGACTTGCTGGATAGTAATTGGCTATTTGCATAGTCAGTTTACTAGATTACCAAATTACTCTCCAAATTGACTGTACTACCAGTAAGCATTAAAGCACCAGATTCCCCATGTTCTTGCCAAAATTTTGGCCAATCTGCTGTATGAAAGAAGTTATCATTGTTTTAATTTGTCTGTTCCCTGATTAGCAATATACATGAGCATCTATCTTCCTGTGTGTTTCTTGGACATTCAGATTATTTTTTCTTCTGCAAATAGTGTACATACTTAATCTCTTTTTTTGTTGTTGTTGGATTTCCTTTTAATTGTCTTGTAGCTCTTTATTATATATTACATTTACCAGTCTTTTGCATGTGTTCTAGAAGTCTATCATTTGTGTTTTAGTTTAGTATCTTGTTCATGGAAACATTTAAATTATTGATCTCTTCTTATTTAGATAGCTTTGCTTGTATGGTTAACCATTGCTTTTTGTATCTTTTTAAAGATATCCATCTCTACCTCAAGATATTTGATTAAATATACTACTAAATTGTTTTAGTTTAGTTTTTTTATTCTTCACTTTTTTTAAAAGAGAGAGTGAGAGAGGAGAGAGAGAGAGAGAGAGAGAGAGAGAGAGAGAGAGAGAGAGAGTGAGAGAGAGAGAGAGAATTTTAA